AAAGGTCCTTAAAATGTGTGAGTAGGCCTAATAGCGTTTGTTGTCAAACCAAAAAGACAGCAGAATGCATTATTGAAATTCGAGCTTTTTTCTGAATGCGGACACGTTAATTATGTCTATACGGTTGATGCAAGTCCTCAATCGATGTTGCCTACCATATTCCGTTCCTTTATTTCAGCTCCCGTTTGTGAATTTCCACCAGAATGTAACTATCCTGCTATGCTGAATTTTACATCCTGTTCATGTTTCTGTACATACGAAGAACACCAAGATCCATCAAAATTCTTTGTTGTCATTCCTAATTTCCCCATCAAGATACCAATGTCTTGTTCAGCTACTCTGGTCTGGAACCAACAACAGTGTACCTGTGTACGACCCTCTGTTATAACTGACACAACAGTCGAAGGTATGTAGTCCTATTTATTAAGGACGTGGTGTTGCAATCAGTCCGCCGGAAGTGGAACACAAGTATATGAGGATGATTTACAGGGGAAATTGTACAAGTGGAAAAGATTTCCACGAACCTTTCCATTTAGGCTATACTCTTCTTCCATTTCATCATTAAATTGATTGGGCTTTTAGGACAGTGTTTCCATTTTCTTTTTTCATTTTCAGATGCATACGCAAATGCTGTAGATTGTACTGTTTTGGCTGATATCAGAAGTGATGGTATGGAGTTTAAGAATTTCGATGGTTATTATACCAAGAAAGAAAATGGTGGACCTATAATGTTGGAAACAGTACCCGGAGCTGTTGATGGTAAAGCTGCTCGATTTGAAGGCAACTCTTTATACTTAGCTGTATTTGAATACAATGATCTGACATCAACCTCTTTCTTCAAACTGAGAGTTAACCCAGATGATAATAACCAAACCTATGCTGACAATAACCAATATATTCTGTCTGATGCCTGCCCTGGCCACCCTGATGCTGCTACTGAACTGATCTACAATCCAGCCAGTGGTAACTTTACTCTTAAAATGAGAACATCATTGAGCAACGAAGCTATGTGCAAAGATGTTGCCCCAGTAAGTATGAAAGGGTTATTATATTAAGTTTTGCAACATATTAGATCTGTAGGCTTGACTACTGTGATATTACACTGATGGGTTTCTCTAGCTCACTCAGCACCCAACAAAGCAGCCCAGCGACCTCATGTAAATTGCACGGCATCCTTTGCGTATTAACATACGCTCAATGGACATTTTACTCGTTGCTTCGAAATTTAAAATTTCCAATAGCAATCGACATTTTAACATGCGATCTATTCTCTTTCATGAACACGTCCCAACTCACTACTTTCAATTTATCAAAATGTTTGATTATGATTATAGAATGCTGACGGTTGGTTTGATATTTCAATCAGTGTATCTAATGGTGAAACAAGCTGGACTATTAACGATTCTCCATGTCCAATCCTCAGTGGTACTGGTACGTATTTTTGTTCATTAATACAACTACAATAATTCACAAAACCATCGAAATTTGGTTGATTCAGAGCTTGATGTATTTGAATAAGCCATTGCACCCGTATATGGCCAAGAATTGATGTGCAGTGACGTACATACAGTTTATAGCTGTACAAGAAGAATGCCAGTTTGGTATTTTCATTTAACAACGATAATATTTAAATTATAAATGAATGGTATCCTTGATACAGATTTCACCATTAAATTTTAAAAACGTGGATTTTTTTTTATTATTCTAGGTAACATTTATAACAGTAAATGTGGACTAACATTAGGAGGAAACCCATTGACTGATTCTAATGCTCAAGATTTCTATGGTTATATTGGTAGCGTAAGTAGTTTTCTGGAGATTCCTTCAAAAAATCGTACTGATCAAAATGTGTTTGCTGTATTTGATGAGGTGACTCCACTTTGACTCATACATACAGGAAAATCTGAACAAAACATCTGCATCTGAATTTCTTCAGATTGAAAATAATTCTTATGTTTAGCTATCACAGTTATTATGATTATTGCAAACCTCAAATTCAATGTATTGCCAACGTTACCATTTTGTTTTGCATGAAGAGCTCATTAACCTTTTAAACCAACTAGTATTTATTGCAGTCATTGTCCATGTAAATTAAAGAACAATTTTGTGTTTTCAGGTCAAGGTTATCAAACACTGTGCTGCAGAACCTGTACCGATCTCTGCCTAAACAACGACTGTTTTTACCACCATAGTCCCATAGTTCGTAAAATATATCATTCTGTACAGATAACTACTATTTATGATATTAAAATATTTCTCACTAATTTTCAGTTTTCACTTCTGTATTGAGAGTACCAGAGAACGGTATATACGGACTATCGTTGGATAATTCCAAGTTAGAAAAGGTGGACTTGAGTCGACTAGCCAGTCATCTCAGCAAGTCTGTCACAGTCGACATGAGCGAGTCTCTCATATCGAGACTACTCGTAGTACAATCCGAAACATCTGCCAGCATTACAGCCTCTGATAGATATTTTGAGTACACCGTCGACAGCTTTCAAAACAGCTATCAGAGGCTGGAATAGAGGCTGATGTTTAGACACATTCGTAGTTGGCCGATTGTGGCTGACAGTGGCTGATTCGGACCGCCCAGGTACAAAATTGGAACATGTTGCCACCAACAGCCATTTCACAGTCGCCGCTGCATTGGTATCTATTATATCCAGCGATTGATCAGATTCCACCAGTTGCTTCAGCTTTAATAATTCAGTTGCTCTCTGCTTGTTGCAAGGCCGATCTGGGCAACCGTTTTTGAAGACAACTTCTGCTTTCACTGATACATTTTAAGAAACTGACGAAGATCTGAAGAAAAGGCAACAACCAAAGTCCTCTGTAATCGTCTGTCATTCTGTAAACTAAATATTGTAGAGAATACTAAGGATATTTTGCAAACATTATTAACTGATGAAGCTGCACATTTGTAAATTTGTAATTTGGTAATATACCAAATATTCCAAAGCATAAGATAAGGGATTTATCATTTGCTAATTTGCTTCACTAAGATTTACCAAAGTGATACTGAAAAGATGAAGCACTTTGCACTTTTCCACTTTTCATTTCTGTTAAAGAATGGTCTGATGTACTAAAATATATTTTTATTTACAATTAAAGGATGCATGCATACATAATGTAAATATAAGGTTATGGTCTCATATTTTAATAATTCAAGGGCAATTTTATCTTTGGTAGACATAAACAAAATAAGGCAAGGTTCCAATCAAACAAACAAATAGAATTTGTCTTGCAGTCATTGCTTCATGATTTAAAACTATTTCTAGTTCAGAAAATAGAATATTGTTCTTGTTATAAGGTTATTTCAATACACATATATTACAAGTATATATAATACTGATTGGGGTACACTGATATATTGGCAAATTAAAATTACAACAATGGGTAAGCAATATATTTTGTTATTGAAGGGGGCAGTGCTCGGTATTGTTTTATTATCAGAGCATTTTCTGTGGCCTGTGAAGTAGTCAGTGTACTTCAACAGACATTAATGTCAGTTTCCTTTCAATAAATTTTTTCATGATTTGAAGTTTGTAAACCTTAATTGTCTGTCACTCCACGTAATTGACATACACTTATGAATGAAATCTGTGCATAATTATTAGTCACATTATTCTAAAGTGAGTCACTTTCTCAATTTATACTAACTGATCTGCTTCAACCAGCACAATCTTAGTCTATTTGGTCTCTGAAGCCTCTGCTTACAAGACTATGAGAACATAGATCCCGATGACATTTAAACTCAAAAGATACCATCAGTTAATGGATGTGAAAATAACTAGCATGAACTGATGAAGTATGTTTGAATTTAAATGATCAGTGTCTGTGACAATGATCTTATTTTCCATTAGCAGTATAAAGTTACAATAGAGAGATAAATGAATGTATGAAATTGAACACATGTGAGTATCAATGAAATAAAAACCAGACAGGTGATGGCATATATTAGAAATTTAAATCTTAATATATATGTATATCAAATTTCATGTTTGGCCCTGTGACAAAGTTATTGCAGTACAGCTGGTGATATTTCTCAGGTTATTTGCAGATCTTACAACATTAACAGGAAGATATGTTCACATATTTAAGCCTTCAAATTCAGAGTTATTGTCATGGAACATTTTCATCGGTAGGTTTAATGAATTTGCATACATTTACGGTGGCAGATATACACAGAGTGGTGTAAAATTCAAAGAAAAATAAATCAATTTCAAATGACATAGATGAAGGTATGAATTAAAGATTAAAAAAAAAAAATGGCCAATAATAAAGAATTACCAGATTCAATGTACATATCACAGTTAGGGATTTCATTAAACTAAGTCAACTGTTTTGACACAAAAAAGAGAGAAACAACATAAATGGTATAAAGGGTGCGCACTAAGAATATAAAGCTTTTCAATATTCCTAAATCTTTTCAATGACATACATTCCATCAAAAACCTTTAAAATAAAAATAAGAAAATGTTTGGCACAAAAAAAAATAAATACATGGGCACAATACAAAACAAATACAATGACATATCATTCATGCAGTACCCACCATACAAAGTTTCTTTGTTTCTAGGGATAACAGGCAAATTTCAATAATAAAATATATATTTTAAAAGATATCTTATCTATTTAGTTTACATTCTATGTCTTCCAAAACAAGCTGATCATCATGTTATTTGCGCAAGGTAATTGCAAGAAATAGTGGTATATCTAGTGGTGTATTTAGGGGGTGGGCCCCCCTCAGGCCTATGAAAGTAAATTTTGAAATGTATATCAAACTCATTCATCTGAAATCCATTGGCTCCTAGTATCCCCCAGGCTGCCAGCCTCGATGGGAATTGGCCCTAGCCTCGGATGGACACCAGTATTCATAAGCTGTATCACATAGTTTAATAACTATCTTTCTTTGAAGTCCCATTTTAACGCTGCTTTTAATAGGTTAATTGTATACTAAATTATGACCAACAAGTAAAAATTCTAACTGAACACAAAACAAAGAAAAACTTTGACAGATTTTGATTGGCTATTGCAGTAAGACTGTGAAAAATATGAAAGGAAACATCTACATCAGCATTTCAGTCAGATTTCAAATGACAAAACTTGGCCAAGATTTAGAAATTAAAATTCAATTGTCATGATTACTACATACCCTTACCAAAATAACAAGATAACCTAATCAAAAACTTACAATAAAAATATTCTTAAAGCTCATCAAATCAATATATCAAACAACTGTAGAACGAAGACCTTTTTTTTCAGCATTAATTATTGTTCAAATTTCAAAACCATGATGTGTGACAAGATTATGAATATTGCTGGTAAACGTGATTAGTACATGTAGATTTAGTAACAGTAGATAACAAAGAATGAGTCAACTAATTATTCACTTTAAGGAATATAAAACTTTAGGCTTTGAATTATCTTTAGATGTGCGTAAATATCTTACTCAACTAGATATTTCATATAATCTGCATGTACAAACAAGTCTGAGGTGTTTTTTTTATCAAGTTATGTTATGTAGACCTATATCTTTAATCTGATAAAGTGAATAATAAGATTCTATCCCATAGTATCAATAACATATTAAGGCTGTATTAATCTTTCTTCCATATCTCCAGTTCTCTGTCTCAGATCTACATCCTCATCAGCAGACATAAACACATCAGACTCTTCCGTCTTTTCTATTCTATTATAACATTTTACACGTTCAGAAGACTTGAAAAATTTCACTGAACTTTCTTCACTGTTCACATAAATAGTTTTTGCACTTTGAATACTTCGTTTCAGAAAATTATCCACCACCCAGAAAATGAAAGCCTGTGAAATATTAAAATATATTCAAATTTAAATCTATTTTGAATGTTCTAAGATAACTATTGGACTATTATGACTAGCCCATTTGAGCTTGCTAGATTTTGTTTTCTAGTAATTCTTGACTTATGAAATGTGATTTGAATAGATACACATCTGTTGTCTTTTAGAATAAACATATAAACAACTAACCATATCAAGACTTGTTATATGTTATCTTCTGTTTTCAAGTAAGATGTTTAATGTAGTGATTTGATTGTATGGTAGCATATACAGCCTATAATAACCCATGATTCACACAGCTGTATCATTTCCAGTCTAACTTATTAGGGCTCTAATTGGCAGTATTCACTTGCAAACAATCCAATCAAATCAATGCATTTTGCAATAGAAAAGGTGGCTATTGCAGTCAAGGTATTTGATGTAACAGCATTGACATTGTGAAGATGATCATTAGTTCATTGATATTTTTGCTCAAAATAACATGACTACATAATCTAAACCTTATTCAATATAAATAATAGATGTATTGTATTAAGTCAATAATCTAATTAACTACACTATACTTACGTTGATAACTAATGGTACTAAAAACATGACTATAACCAATTCAAATTGAGGTTCTTTTATAGGTGACATGATAAACTTTCTTACCTTTAAAAATATAAAAAGTATAAATATTTTTTGTATGTGTACGATTTCAGTCCTGCCATGTATATTTGCTAGCTAACTTTATTGTTGTCCGGGTCTCTTGCAATCCAACAAAAGTGTAGCATGGAAGTTTAGACTGTCATTGCCGTTACTTCCATTGTGTTAACAACATTGCTTCATGGGTAAAATTGTCTGTTCTGTACTATTGTACAATTACTGTGATATCATTCATTTTTATCGGTTTCGAATTAATTATACAACCTATCATTATCTTAAATTATTCCCCTTTAATCAATAAATACCATTCATATGTACTGAAGTATTACAAATATTTTCACATTTCATGGGGGAAACACAAAACCCATAAAAAATTGAAACATCCCGAATAGTACAAATTTTAGTGTGCATCATATTATCAATGTTTGGGTGTATTCATTCTAATTTACTGTATGAATGAGTTGTAGATACTTTACTTACATCTGTCCAGAATCTAAACTGAACTAATAATGCCATTAAAACTTTCTCTATTAATACTACAATAATATATAATAAACACTGCCCAATCCATGATGTACAGTTGGGAGGATCCCCTAAAATAAATCAAAATATCACATATAAATACACTCACATGAAATGAAATAACACAATAAATGCTCCTATAACTTTTATTAAATGAGAAAAGGCGAAATTCTGAGGTTACAATAGCATATTGAATAAATAAACCATGTATCAACAATCCCATCCACAAAAAAAAACTAGAAATCCAAAACAGAAACATGTTCACATCACAAGGTATATCAATCATAGGTGAGTAAGTTGACCCATACCTGTATCAAAACAAGAACTCAGTTACAAGTTTATAGATGAAAGTATATCACTCACTTAATGTTTCTATATGCAACTGTTTGTCTGATAGATAATAACTGTACAATGATTATTGAATATGGAAAGAATTCTGAAAGATGATGGGATGATCTTACTGAAATTAACATTCAATATGTTCTAGAAGAGTGCAAGTTAGCTAAATACTAGACTCAGTATGACAAAAAAAGGTCTGAGAAATTACAACATAAGACCTACCATAAACTCCAAAATATAATGATTTCCATTGCTTTCTTCTGGCTATAATCTGTGTGACTTTTAACCCAATATAGATAACTAATAACCCAACTGTAGAATCTAACAGAAAACTTATAAAATACCTGTATAATATATCATCACAAAATAATCATCTAGAAATATCAAAACAAAACCTGAAACATGGTGTTACTGAATGTTTTATGCTGTGCAATCTTCAGGAAACTGATCCATTTCGGCCTCTGTCCCTACTGAAGTACTTGTTCTTGTGTATGGCACTTTGAGACAAGTTCGGAATTAATAGAAGTGTGCCAAGAGGCTATTTAGGTGTCTATTAGACCAACAATCTCAGACTGTAATGATTCTGATTTGCATCTGCCATGTGTGGGTCGTTAATTGCCTTCAAAGTAGGAAATATTTGGATTCCACAGCCAGTTCCTTTGATAGTAAGCTCAGTGCCATCTTTAATGTAAGAAAAAAAAATGAGAGAAAGAAAATCTTCCTAAATACATACCATGTACAAGGATCATTGTGATCTCCCTGAAATTTGTCAGCTAAAAAAACATTAGCAAAATGTATAACAGCAGCACCCAGCGCTTGTTTCGATGTATCATAAAACCTGCAATACATACAAAATGTTTCCTTAAACAAAAGAAACCACTGACATGATATATAACTAAAGCACAAGTAGAGCTAATGATATTGGTGATTTAACGCCTAGACATGAATAATAATATAGTACTAATTTCAAGTTATTTGTGTATTACATGTATATAAATTTGGACACTTGATTCTTATTTGAACTAGAAGATTATGTCTGGGCTCACAATTTGAATGGCAGAAAAAAAAAGGCCAAATAAATATCAAAGATCTAGTAAATATTCAACAAATTATATATGGAAAGACTATTCAAAGTGGGTTTTGTTATAAAAATGAAAGCATGTCTGACACAAACTGGTCCATATCCTGGAGTCTTGAGTAAGGTGAAACAACAAGGAAAACAAGACGGACATCAGCAATGACAATATACAACGTGAGCATATAAAAAAGGTCTCACCATATCTTCCAGGGTCTCCTTGAATGTTTTGGTTCACAGTATCTTTTTACTGAAAATATATCATAAGTAATTTATATGACTTTATGTGACTTTTAATCTTTGTACAGGAATTAGACTATCACCTTTAATTTTTCTAAAATTAATTGAAAAGACAGCTGTCTGTAGGGAGAGTAAGAACTTTCTCGTCAGGGAAAACATAATTCTGCATAAAGTTAAGCAACACTATGTTAAAAAACATGTAAATGAAATTCAAACAAATTATGGTACTACAAACAACTAGGCTACTCACCAATCAATGAGGTAAAAGCTAAAAACGCTAGAAGACCTTGAACAAATAAACCCAGTGCTCCCATAAGGTCACCAGTAGAACAATGTAATTCTGTACCATTCTCAACTTCATTTTGAGCAATATCCTCCAGACTGGTGTTATTCATTTCTGCTGTCACCCCAGAACGTGTGTGATGGTTCAGAAGTGAATCATTGTGAATTAAGTGATTGGTAATAAAATTATTAGCTATTCTCATAGTATCAATCAACCCCATTCTTCCATCTTTACTATTCAATCATTAGGCTACTGATGACACAAACATCTAATAAAAAAAGTGGGTGAAAATAACAATAACTCCATTGACATTCATATTTGTAATTTCATTTGATAATCACAAAGATGTTGTGGTACTAGTGTTGAATCGGTTAATCAGTTAACTGATCAGTATTTCACGGGTAACTGGGTCTGATTTGAGATAATCGGTTAACCGTCAATTTTATAAGAAGTAAAAAGAGAGCAATTTGGACAGAAATTTCATCACTGTATGAGTCTTTAAGCTGTTTTCTTTAGTAAATAAACATCTTTATTGATTGAATAATTGAGATAAATCAAGATAGGGTATCAATTATCAAAACACTATTACTTTTTATTAACTCTTCTCTAATTGGCTGATTGTTTCTTCTTGCCTGTCAATTAGTTTCAAGCTTATTAACATTCATGAGTTACAGATTCATTGAGACAATAGTTTCATAACAGTAGTGGAACCAGTACACTGATTTTCGGCGACTTCAATGAGATACAATCATAACACTGACCCCACAACTGGTATAAAAACCTTTGATCTGTTAGAGACTAGTTTGCGATATCAGCATCTGCTGGAAGCGATCGTTAACTTGTCATCTACCTACCTACCTACCTACCTAGAGACTGTAGCAATGAGTGACAATGGCGCCAGTTCGTCTGAACTCTGTCAGGCCTGCTCGTAATCTTACAGCTTCAATGGAATGTTTGGTATCTGTCGATTTGTACCGACAATTCGCGGGAACTAGCCACAATCTTCCTGGGTATTCATTTTCACTTACTCTAGTTTAGTTAACGGTGAGATACCGCCGCAAATGCGGTTTTTGACTCCTTTTAAAATGTTTAGTAATTAACCGGGATTAACCGGGTAACAAACGGTTATTGCCGACGATTACCCAGTTTGCAAAATTCACTAACCGTTTCAACACTATGTGGTACACATTGATTTTTGCCAAGTGCAGCGACCTAGAGAAAGAAAACTACCCAAAACATCTAATACATGCATTTGTAACATTTTAAGACAAAAGACATGTAGAATCTACATTGTAGATCTAATCAAAACAATTTCTTTTTGAATAGATCTTATTTGTGAAATGACATCAAGCGCCATAAGGTGTATTTCACTAATCAAGTCCGCCTTCATTAAATCACGTCCAATAAAGCACAAAGCAAGTAAGAATAGCCATTCTGTCTTCAGATTGTCCTGTTAACACCTTAAAGTCTTGTCATGGTTTTCTACATAAAGTCTTATCATTAACCTTGAGTTGTTGTTGACCAACGTGAAACAGGATTTATCCTAACTAACTGGCGAAGAGCTTAAAGAGATCACTGTGGATGGAGAGTTGGATAGACTCAAGGGAATATCCCCAAGGGGATATGATCCAGGAAAACTATTGTGGATAGTTTGAAAGGTTTTATACTATTTTACAACTATTAGAAACGAACTTAATGTGGCAGTATCTTTGTAGAATATCATAATGACATAAATAATGGCCACATTCCTACTGAGTTTGTGAATCCTGGTTACACAAAACATACAGAGGTCGTAACAACAGCAGCATTGCGACTTACCTGAAGAAGTAATGCAAAACCTCACAGCTACATGAACAACCTAGCTTTTAAAAAACCTAATTCTTTTGCAATTTTAATGTTTATTTACTAATCTTTCGGCAAATCTAACACTGCTCTCTTTTTTGTGACATGTAACCGGAAGTACAGTTGAGGTTGTACTAAACACGAAAATGGAGAAGTACCACTCGAACTCGAAGTGGAAAACACAGAAAATATATTTTTTAATTTCTAGCTGTAAGATGCTCAATTGCTGAAAATAAGCTCTATCAGATGGAAAATCTTAACAACTAAATCATTTTAATACCCAATACAATGCTTACTATATACCACAATACCTATAACATAGAATTATCCCCCTTGAACCACACTGGATTAATTTATGCTAAAATTACCTGAGCTGAATAATATGGATGTTTTAAAGATGAAATTTATTTTACTCTTTATGATATAGTTTGCATCGATATTATTGTTTGCAACTAATTATTTCTTTTAACAACACACCACATAGGCTATAAATTCAATCACTAAGTCAGTCAGTTTCGAGAGCCTGGCGCCGACACTGATTTGACCACATGCAAACTCATGTTTCTGAATATTATTTTCTATGTCAATGAAAATGTCATGTAGTTCTCGTCGATGTCATTGAACACCAAAAGAATGTGGTGTTATTTGTTTAATTGAAGGTGAACATATGACAAAGATATCCGAATTTGCGATTTCGCCTAGTTAAGCAAATATTTAGAAGATTATCTTGCGAAACTAGTGTAGGCTAGTATTCTCGATCCCTACGCTGTCCATTTTAGTTTAAGAAAATATCTGCTGTGGAGCTTTAAGGTTAGTGAACACCTTCGTTCTTGCTGTTAAACTAAATCTGAGATTTTCTTGAACTTACTATTGCAAAAGCCGTTAGATATTAACAACTTTAGCAATACTTACGATAAAACGTTTGGTTTTAGTGGAATAAAGACCACAGACTTCGGACTGAAAATGGTACAAATCAATTTAGAGGTTTGTGTTTTGTTATTTTAACGATCAGGTAAATTGAGTTATTTCCCACGACTTTTCTTAGATTGTACCAACATCCGTTTCCTTTTTAAGAAACTTGATATTAGTCCATGTGAGATCTCGAACGGGTTGGAGAATAATATGCTATCTTCCTGTCTTTAGGTAGCTATGGCCCTTGATTAAGGGAAAATCCACTCATAACGCCACCGTGACTTTATTCTTTATCCTGGTCATGAACATTTTTTCGATTTCTTTTGACACCATTGTGACAATAATCGAAATTGACGGTATTTCTTTGACGTTTTCTGTGTTGTCAGATTTCATTAGCCCACATTAAGAACATACGATATCAGTTAAAATGTACATCTGTTTTGAATTAAACTAGTTTGACCAATGCAGCTTGATAGCCAGTTGTCTGAGGTTCCTGTTATTCCACTAAAACTAAATGTTTGATGACATTACTAATCCCGAAGGGCTTAATGTAATAAAGTATATTCACCGATTAGTGACGTTATCAAACACTTAGTTTTAGTGGAATTGCAGGAACCACAAATGTCTGATCGAAAATTAGCATGTTGCAAATTGCTGCTTTCAATGTCCCGATACATGAAAAATATAATAAACTCCACCGGTCCCACTTCCACAGTTTGGAATTGGAACCTCATCTTGTTTTTTGAACGATAAACTCCTGGCTGTAAAGGAACTCTGGGGATAAAGCAATGGCAAAGACGGAAACAGATAAATGTAAACTAAAAATAAGTTTATTCAAAGTATAATTTTATGTATAAATAAATGTCAAAAACTTTGATAAAAATAAATATATTTTGTTTTAATATTTCTATAAATATATTTTGTTTTAATATTTCTAATAAAATATATTTTGTTTTAATATTTCTATAAAATATTTAACTCTGTAAGTAATGTATTGTGCTATGAACACTATTTTGACACCAACAACAAAAGGAAAAACTCTTCTAAGAAAATAAAAAAAATAATGTAATATGCAAAAAAAAAAAAGATAAATAAAGGAAAATAAAACATAGTGTTAAAATAGTGCTCAATACAATAATTACAGAGCAAAATAGTACAAATAGAGTACAAAAAATATTTTTTCTAAGAAAGTATTCATATTAATATAAAACGAATATATATCATGTATCACAGATATTACATAGTGATCCTCGAAAAAGAAAATATATAGGTCTAGAGTGAGATCAGAATGTATTCTCAAAAAGCACTGGCCTGTGTAATGAAATAGGAAACAAAATCATAGTTTTCGTTTATATTTGAGAAACAAGGCGACTACAATATTTGCTCAATACATTACTGGCCTGTGTAATGAAATAGGAAACAAAATCATAGTTTTCGTTTATATTTGAGAAACAAGGCGACTACAATATTTGCTCAATACATTAAATACACTGTATAAGGCTTGTCGTGGTCCAGCCCAATCTTGTTTAGTATTGGTTTCAACTACTAAAATAAAAAAAAAATATTCATTTTAAATTGAATGAAATATATTTAACTAATACAACTAATACCTCTAAGTTCTAATAATTCACCAACTCAAAGTAAACGGTCAATAGGTAAATATAAGAGAACAATAGTTACTAAAGAGTGAGAGAACATAAGTTACTACAAAGTGAGAGAACATAAGTTACTACAAAGTGAGAGAACATTTAGTTACTACAAAGTGAGGGAACATAAGTTACTACAGAGTGAGAGAACATAAGTTACTACAAAGTGAGGGAGCATAAGTTACTACAGAGTGAGAGAACATTAGTTACTACATAGTGAGAGAACATAAGGTACTACAAAGTGAGGGAACATAAGTTACTTTAAAGTGAGAGGTCATTGATACTATAAAGTGAGAGAACATAAGTTACTACAACGTGAGAGAACATAAGTTACTAAAAAGTGAGAGATCATTATTACTAAAAAATGAGAGAACAATAGTTACTACAACGGGAGAGAACATAAGTTACTACAAAGTGAGAGATCATTGTTACTAAAAAAGTGAGAGAACATAAGTTACTACAACGTGAGAGAATATAAGTTACTACAACGTGAGAGAACAATAGTTACTACAACGTGAGATAACAATAGTTACTACAACGGGAGAGAACATAAGTTACTACAAAGTGAGAGATCATTGTTACTAAAAAGGTGAGAGAACATAAGTTACTACAACGTGAGAGAACATAAGTTACTACAACGTGAGAGAACAATAGTTACTACAACGTGAGAGAACAATAGTTACTACAAAGTGAGGGAACATAAGTTGCTACAACGTGAGCGAACAATAGTTACTACAACGTGAGAGAACGATAGTTACTACAACGTGAGAGAACATACGTTACTACAAAGTGAGGGAACATAAGTTACTACAAAGTGAGGGAACATAAGTTACTACAACGTGAGAGAACAATAGTTACTACAACGTGAAAGAACAATAGTTACTACAATGTGAGAGAACATAAGTTACTACAAAGTGAGAGATCACTGAGAGAACATTAGTTACTACATAGTGAGAGAACATAAGGTACTACAAAGTGAGGGAACATAAGTTACTTTAAAGTGAGAGGTCATTGATAGTATAAAGTGAGAGAACATAAGTTACTACAACGTGAGAGAACATAAGTTACTACAAAGTGAGAGATCATTATTACTAAAAAATGAGAGAACAATAGTTACTACAGAGTGAGAGAACATAAGTTACTACAAAGTGAGAGATCATTGTTACTAAAAAGGTGAGAGAACATAAGTTACTACAACGTGAGAGAATATAAGTTACTACAACGTGAGAGAACAATAGTTACTACAACGTGAGAGAACAATAGTTACTACAACGGGAGAGAACATAAGTTACTACAAAGTGAGAGATCATTATTACTAAAAAATGAGAGAACAATAGTTACTACAGAGTGAGAGAACATAAGTTACTACAAAGTGAGAGATCATTGTTACTAAAAAGGTGAGAGAACATAAGTTACTACAACGTGAGAGAATATAAGTTACTACAACGTGAGAGAACAATAGTTACTACAACGTGAGAGAACAATAGTTACTACAACGGGAGAGAACATAAGTTACTACAAAGTGAGAGATCATTGTTACTAAAAAGTCGAGAGAACATAAGTTACTACAAAGTGAGAGAACATAAGTTACTACAACGTGAGAGAACAATAGTTACTACAAAGTGAGGGAACATAAGTTACTACAACGTGAGAGAGCAATAGTTACTACAACGTGAGAGAACAATAGTTACTACAACGTGAGAGAACAATAGTTACTACAAAGTGAGGGAACATAAGTTACTACAACGTGAGAGAACAATAGTTACTACAACGTGAGAGAACAATAGTTACTACAACGTGAGAGAACATAAGTTACTACAACGTGAGAGAACAATAGTTACTACAACGTGAGAGAACAATAGTTACTACAACGTGAGAGAACAATAGTTACTACAACGTAAGAGAACATAAGTTATTACAACGTGAGAGAACAATAGTTACTACAACGTGAGAGAACAATAGTTACTACAACGTGAGAGAACATAAGTTACTACAACGTGAGAGAACAATAGTTACTACAACGTGAGAGAACAATAGTTACTACAACGTGAGAGAACATAAATTACTACAACGTGAGAGAACAATAGTTACTACAACGTGAGAGAACATAAGTTACTACAACGTGAGAGAACAATAGTTACTACAACGTGAGAGAACATAAGTTACTACAACGTGAGAGAACATAAATTACTACAACGTGAGAGAACATAAGTTACCACAAAGTGGACTCCTCAAAGTTTCATTTATGGTCCAATTCGACATAATTATATCATCAATTTGTAAGGAAATAGGGTTTTAGTGTTCTATTCTGACATAAATATGGAATATTCTTACCTTGAGTGTTTTGAATCTCTGTAACCATATCATCAGAAAAGGTAATTTCCATCATTTGATCCCTTTCCATTCTGACAGAATCCTGACCTTGGCATCCACTAAAAACAGTAACTCTGTCCTCTACAGCCAAGCCATCATCAAGAAAGGCAACTCTGTCAGCAGAGTTAAAGCTTCCATGGGAAACTGTAATCGCGATAAGTGCTTCCAGAAGATCTGTGTCACCGTCAAGAATGGGAACTCTGCTGACTATGGTTCTATCGTTGTTGAAATAAAACTTGTAAGAAGATGAAGATGTTTTTAGCTCTGGTCTTGGTTTGAGCACGTTTTGAAATGATAGTAACTCCAGTTGCTTCTGCTCTTCAATATAGGGTGTGGTCACTGGAAATGGACCGATGACGTCTAAACTAGCTAGCTGTAGATGTATTACATCAGCATTAATGAAGTTTTTAAGATTGGAGACTTCAACTGACAAATCCACAGTGAAGTAAGAAAGGCTTTGTTCTTCTGTATATCTGAATATCTTGAGAACTTTCTTTGGATGTTTCAAATTAAATTGTGTGACTTCTTTGGAACCGAACGCTCCAATAGTGAAGCAAAAGTTTCGTTCTTCGTTGCTGATGACCTTCAAGAACTTTTGAGCTACACATTGTCCGCAACCTACAGATGGTATTTTAGGCACCATTTCTAAAGCAAGTTTGAGATCTTCCATGTTAAAGTTGTTCATCTCTACTTCATCTTTGTCGAATCCAGTCATACAGTCGATTGTTAAGGATCTACTTTGAGGATTGTAGTCTGAAATAGAAAAAAAAAAATAAGACACAATGTAAATCCGAAATAAGGACCAAAAGTTATAGACTTATATGCTGTTGGTATCCAAAATACTATTGTAACTGCTTAAAACAGAAAAATTGAAACAAAAAAGACACTGGAAAGCTTGAACTCTGTTCCCATCCTCTTCAAAAAGAAAAATGTGGGGGCAGTGAGCCATCATCCCGTGACGAAAAAAAATGAATCGAACTTACCACTCCAATCCCCGACAGTAACATCCGGAATAATAAGCCCCTCCTTCACAAATCTTCCACCCCAAGGGACAAACACACTTTTATTATTTAGTCCAGTTTCAATCTTGATGATTCTATTTACTCCTTCTTGCCATCGTCGTATCTCTCGAGTTTGTCTGTCCAAAATGACCCACTTGAACTCTTCTGTTGTTCCTTGCTCGAGTTCAAAATTGGCTGTCCACACAAACCCTAGAGGATCGTCCGAGGCAGCAGGAACCCAGGTCTTCCAGTTTCCAAGCAGCTTTCCCGATCCCATCACAACGATTTGTTCATCATCATTGAGAACATAATGAGTACTCATTGAAATTTGGCATCCACAAAATGAAGAGAACTCGGTCCACTTTTCTCCGTATTCGGATTTAAAGACACCTCCAAAAACGCCGATATTGGCTTTTCTGCATCCTGTAGGCTCCTCTTCATAAAAATGCCCATTTTTCGTCATCGCCCAGTTAAAAAAGAAGAACGACATCTGAGGAATCTCTAATTCTACGGTCCATTTCGTTGAATCTTCGTCGATTTTCCTAGCTACAAGACCATTGAGTCTGTTCCATCTTCCCAATTCTTTCAGCGAACCAACTAGACAAGGGACAAGATCTTTCAATGCGGGGTTGAACTCCACCTCAAAAATAACAGGAACTTTTACGGTGTGAATCGGCATCGCAAAAATATTCCAAAATATTCAAAAAATCTTCAAGAAAACTTGAAAAACGCAGCTTATCTGGTTGAAACAGTTGGGCTACTGATTATGACGTCATAATGCTTCCAAGACAAAGAAAAAACGTCGCGTCGATTGTTTTCTTTGAAGACGTTTTTTGACTGCATTAGAACTAAAATATTTCCAAATATTACTGAAAATGTCGTCTCTAAATTCTTAACAGGGATGGGGTGATAAACATGTAGCGAGCGAGTGTCCGTAGGAGTGGAGAAAATCGTCCATCCGTCCGTCCACATTATATTTTGTTGTATGCACGATAGAGGCTACAGTTTTTATCTGATCTTGATGAAACTTGGTTGGCATGTATATATTGATGAGATCTCGGGCAAGTTCGAAATTGGTAATAATCGGATGAACCGCTTTAGAGTAATTTCCCTTGGCTTAGTTAAAACGCGTTAAATTTGGCTTGTATGCACGATAGAGGCTGCAATTTTTATCTGATCTTGATGAAACTTAGTATGCATGTATATATTTTTGAGATCTCGGTCAAGTTCAAAATTGGTAATAATCAGATAAAAGGTTTCAGAGTAATCGCCCTTGACTTAGTTAAATTTAAACACGTTAAATTTGGATTGTATGCAAGATAAAGGCTGCAATTTTTATCCTTTCCTGATGAAACTTAGTATGCATGTATAAAGTGCTGAGACCTCAAGTTCAAAAATGGTAATAATTGGATGAATGGTGGAATTTTGGTAAAATTAATGACAATACCCCCGTCGTCTGCTTCCCCAATTTTATTGATATACCTACGGTTAGGATATGGTCTCCTTTGCAATGATTTAATTGACTTTATCTCACTTTATGTAACATTGGAAGTGGCAATTCTAGGAAACATTAGGGAGGGGGCGAACAGGGGCCACACAATTTTTCAGGGGGAGGGAGGGGGAGGGACGAAGACAACTCTGTCACTATATAAAATGATTAAAAAGATTAAGTCGTTAATTTTTAAATGTCAAAAATATCTAAAAACATTAAGTTCTTAAGTTCGTTATGCTTTTTGGAAGCTGGTACAACATTGGAGTACGGATATAAATAAAATAAACGCCTAATATTGTAGAGAAATATGCCCCCTACGTATGCTTAAGGTTTTTAAAAACTTAGTAACTTAAGTAACTAATAATATAGAGTTATTCTCAAAGCCAAACACCAAAACTAGGTCAAACTGCTTAATTAACAATTAGTACTCAACCTTTTTAATTAACCATTTTAAATCAAATTTAGTTTGATCAAGAAGATACATATATAAATAGCATATTTTAGAAATATTTTCAGGTATAATTTACAACGTTTTTGATAATGAAAACGTTTGACAAACAAGCGAAATACCCCTTTAACATATGTTTTCTTGTATTCTGAAACCCCTCTCTAAGTCACTTTAATATGTTAGTGATCTGTCGAAGAAGATCAAAGGCACCAGGGTGGGTCCCCTCAAGGGTGGGGCCCGTGGACATCGCTTAACCAGTCCCTATGGCAGCCGAGCCACTGGAGAATCGTATACATATTCGCCGCATTAGACATAAGTAACTGTTAATGAGTTATAGTGCCTGACACTGAATATCATTTGGTTCATGTATAAAAATGATTCATGGAATGCCACTAATAATATGTTTATCAACAACCAAACCAACAACACAGAATCATCAAATTTGAACCAATCCAACTACCAACTACCACGACTACAAACAACTACCTAGTTTGCGATATCAGCATCCGCTGGAAGCGAACGTTAACTTTTCATCTACCTACCACTAATAATATGTAGCTACAACTTATATTCTTGTCATCACAAATAACGACAATGTCAAATGTTAAACCAATTATGCAATTAAAATGAAATTTAAAATGAAACTCTAAATGTTGTAACATTCCTTTCCATGCATATAGGCCGGTATGACTGAAAATGGTACAAATCGAAGCTATCAGTTCCCCGCCATATTATTTAAACCTCTTTACAATCCCCTAAAATGGATTGTACCAAAATCCATTTCTGAGGGATATTTTAAGTTTTCTTTTTTATGAAACTTGATTAGTTCATGTGAGAACTCGGACGCGTTGGAGAATGATATCCTGTGTTTAGGTAGCTATGGCTCTTAGTTAAGATTAGCGCTGTCGTGTGTCGTGACTTTATCCTATGTACTATACTGGTCATGAACATTTTTTCGATTTCTAATGACACCTTTGTGACAATAATCGAAATTGGCGGCATTTCTTTTTCTGTGTTGTCAAGCAACTTCTCTTGTATCGACAGTAGTATAAGTTTCGCTGGTAAGACCAGGGATTACCAATACTTCATATTAAAAACCATAACTTTAGCTATTAAAACAACATAATGGAATGATGTTTTTGTCTCAAAAGTGAAAATCGTATCATTTAAGACGCCGGTTCCCAAGCAAAACCATTGATCTTGATTTTCTTTTACAATAGCCTATTGTTTTATCGATAGTTCAATGATTAGAAGAAGGAGAGAGTTAATTCTCCATATTATAATGTTCAGCCCAGGGTGTTCTTATACTCCATTAAGAAATTAGTGAATGCTAATCTGGACAGTAAACTCGATTCATCTGGCTAACTTAGTTTTTTCTACCCTCATTCGTACAATGGTGGAAGGATATGTAGTTATATAAAAGTCCACATTTATAGCCCAAAGGCTGAGGTTTTTTCTTCTGACCACAGGAAACTATCAAGCATATTCCCGTAGAACTAATAATAATAATATTTTTATTGGGACATACATTAGATTGCTAAACTACCAGGCAAAAGTCACAGAGTTCACTTGAACAAATACCAAAACAAAGGCATATGTCAGATTAATGCTAATTCATTTATAAATAGAAAACTGTCAAGCTTAATTCTTCGTAGATTTGAACATACATGCTAGATTTGAAACACCAGGCCCTAGGTACCATCTTCGCCTCTTTCAGGGCACCTATCAAGTTTGATTCCTGGACGCCCAATCTTCACAATGTCAAGCTATTACGAAGTGTGTCTACCTTGACATTGTGAAGATGCAGATTAGCGAGCAAGCGTCTAATTGAATGGGCCACCCCCTCTAGAAAGATGATGAGGCTATATTTCTCGAGATGCAGTTATTAGACAACATAAAACACGAATATATATGACCTTTGCATGTAATATAGTATAAAGCAATTACGATAGCTCCTGTTTCCGCTCTGATGGCAATGATTCTTCAAAAAGATACGCTTAAAATACTCGTTATTCAGTCTTACTATATAGATTTTATATATAAGACATTCGGTGAATACAGACGTCTTTATCTTACCACCTCCTACTGTTAGTAAGAAATATATGAATGGAATGATAATGGAAAGAGATTATTCACTCAGAAGGAAATTCGAGTGGTATTTGTACGAAAAACAGATAACGTATCCAAAGGTTGTGTCTAGGTGATGAAAAAAATGTGATGGAAATTTAATAATCCAAACAGGTTAAGGGTACAATTGCTCTCATCTTCACAATGTCAAGCTATAACGAACTTCGTACAGTTATACCTTGACAACAATAGGAACCTTTCTTGTATCATGGAAGTTTATAAAGAAGCGATTTGATTGGATTGTTCGCATAAGAATACATCCAATCAGTGGCCTCGATAGAAAGTCTTTTAACAGTGAACACAAAATCATAATGTTTACAGCCTTTCTGTCGAGGGCTCTGATTGGCTGTATTCACTGGCGTACAATCAAATCAAATCACTGCATTCCGTGATACAAGAGTAGTTGCTGTTGAAGTCAAGGCATAAGAAGCCTACGAAGTTCGTAATAGCTTGACATTGTGAAGATCCTTTTTTTGTGCCCTGCATTTTAACATGTATGTGTTTAAATAAGGACTCTTGACAGTTACAAGCTGGATACATACAGGTAACTTGTTCTTTTCCAACACTTAGTCAACAAACCGGACCAATATGATATATTCACCCTGTACGTACACGCAGTCTAACAATTTAACATCAAACATGCTTTTTAGGCTCTTAGCAATGAATTTTATCAGTTTAGCGTGTGCACACTTAAATAAAGGAACAAATAGTGTACAGGCTTTTTTTAATAATATGGTAAATTGGTATGTTTCCAATAAGTAAGAAACAATTGGCAACAAAAAGAAAACCTAGTTTTAAGTCAGGTTCCGTTAGCAACGGTTCGATATTATCAATAGCTAGTTATGGATAATATCGTACCCTGAAGACAATTTGGTCGCCTTTTCGCGTAGCCGTCGATTCGAGCTGTCGGTTGGTTGGTTGGTAGATGACAAGTTAACGTTCGCTTCCAGCGGATGCTGATATCGCAAACTAGGTAGTTGTTGGTAGTCGTAGTAGTTGGTAGTTGGATTGGATCAAATTGGATGATTCGGTGTTGTTGGTTTGGTTGTTGATTCTTCGTTAGATCTGGTCGGGTCGAATGACATGGCGGTGAAACTCGGCCCTGGATGGTGTGGCGTGAGTTACTCGGTCGAGCTGTCGAGTTAGCCGCCCTTAAGTAGCCGCCGATTCAAAATAGTGATACCGACTCTCCCAAACGAAGAAATATTCCTTAACCAATCACTGCCATGGATACATAATATAAAATGAAAGTAGATCTAAAAATAGTACATAAGGCAAATAATCTAAATAAATAAATCTAAAATTCGGGCACAAATTACGACCCATCGTACAAAATTTTCAACATTGAGTTTTATATATTTCAAAAGAGTATTAAATGAGCTTACATAAAATCTAGGTTAAAACCTGGCACATTCATATTAAAGGGTAATCACCCCACGCTGAAATATATACACTCTTTAAAAAATTTTTACTTATAGACACTTTCGGGTTAAAATCACGGCCCATCGTACAAAATTCTCAATATTGAGACTTATATATTTCAAAAGGGTATTGAATGAGCTTTCATAAAATCTAGGTTATAACCTGGCACATTCATATTAAAGGGTAGTTGTCTCACTCTGAAATATTTACAGGTTTTGACTTTTTTAAATCTTCATTTTTAAACATCTTCGGGCTAAAATTACGGCCCATTGTACAAAATTCTCAATATTGAGACTTATATGTTTCAAAAGGGCATTGAATGAGCTTTCATAAAATCTAAGTTAAAACCTGGCACATTAATATTAAAGGGTGGCCACCTCACTCTGAAATATATACAGTCTTTGACCTTTTAAAAAATATTTACTTATAGACATTTTCGGGTTAAAATTACGGCCCATCGTACAAAATTCTCAATATTGAGACTTATATATTTCAAAAGGGCATTGAATGGGCTTTCATAAAATCTAGGTTATAACCTGGCACATTCATATTAAAGGGTATCTGTCTCATTCTGAAATATATACAGTTTTCGATTTCCTTTTGAAATATATCTCAATATTGAGAATTGTGTACGATGGGTCGTAATTTAAGCCGCAATATGTCTATAAGTGTAGATTTTCAGAATAGTCGAAAAGTAATGTACTATTTTTAGATCTACTTTCATTTTATATCTTGTATCCATGGCAGTGGTTGGTTAAGAAATATTTGATTGTTTGGGCGAGTTAATATCACTATTTTGAATCGGCGGCTGTCAAAAGGCGGCTAACTTGACAGCTCGAATCGACGGCTACACGAAAAGGCGGCCAAATTGTCTTCAGTATATCGCACCTTTGCAAAAGTAACATGGTTTTCAGTACGTGCCACAGCATCATGTATTATCATTTAACTAAAAACAATCCTTTGAGCTACAAAAGTCATACGTATATTATTAAAACAACAGACAGAATAACAGCAAAAGTAGTTACAACAAAATCCATTTAAAAACGTAACTGCTGTCCAAAATAGCAGAGTATCAAATGAAGCGAGTCCTTAAAAATCTTAAAACGCAGATAATTATGGATAAACATGGAAATAATCGTAATAAATTATGCCTGTTTATGAAATATTTACTTCCAATGTCCTCGAGACGAGTCAAATAGTACTTTAAAAAACCTCTTTGAAAAAATGTTCTCTCTCCCTCCTTGAGATTTGGCAAGCCACGTGTCTATCTTAATCACATTAATTTTTAGAAAATCCAGAAATATATCGGACAGGATTTATATGATAGTAACCAGTATATGTATTGAAATAACGCAAGATAATTTAGGTTGGGTAAATGTCATCTTGACGTGAAGGGAGTCACGTAGAGGACTATTAGTATGCAATGTAGGTGAGAACTTTTCAACTTATATTGTTCAATACAATTAAAATTCGTTTAAGGATCTTTCCCTTGCGCAATAATATCAATATCTTGTAAGCAGCTCTTTACAATTTTATATTAAAACCTACATACAAGTTACTTTCTATAGTTTTGTTCGACATTTTGTTGAAAAGGACATGAAGTGCATTTATTTCACAATGTTGTGCACGTAGGGCCTACTTAATGCATTGGTATCTGTTGGTGAAAATGTTATTACGGGTCATGTATTTGCATACATTGTTATCAAACATTTCAAAGTCAATTGAAAAGAAATTTATATCTTGCACTCGTATTCTTGTCTCTCACACAATGACATTAACTTGATACAATATCAAAAGAATTTCAGAAACAATGCTCAGACATATTTGATACACTTACTTACTCGTATATATGCCATACATAATAAACCATTCAAATAATTTCACTCGCAATATTTCTATATACACGCTTCAATATCTGTATATTGCAGAAATCGGAGTTTTACATCTTAATTCCCAATTCATTACTTGGATATCGAAGAGGTTGAACACCATACATTCACTGGCGTTTCTCTGCAACATGCCAATTCAACGTTCATCACGTTTGATACGCCGTATTGCAAATTCAATTCAATTATCAGAAGATAGTTTATATATATTATGAATGTATGACATTTTAAAAATATTTTCAGCTTTTACGGCACTTGAAACGTGTTATCATCTTTCGAAATGGAATAAATGGCGTCCAACTACAGAAAACAGTATAGTCTATTTCATGTGTTGTTATCTCTAAGTAATGACAAGTGTCTGAAGTTTTCACTAGAATTGCAGTTTGAGAACGAAAGTGGCTAAGATAAGTGCTGTCAAATTATAAGATTTATAAAAATCTCAAGATTTTTCGTAGTTTAAAGCAGCTGGAGCCAATTTTTCGCGAATGAATTTAAAAAGGTATAGTTAAAGGAATAGTATAGCCTTGTAAAATAAAAAAAAGTAATTCTGTATAGTAACAGACCACATATACAATAATTATACGGCTGTCTAAACGACGGTTACCAGACTTTACATCACCGACTGACGCAGCTCTTCGTGCTGCAATGTGAGATTACTTTATAAAGCTGCATTAACGTATAACTTCAAATAAACGACCACGGGATCATTTACGTGCGCGCCCTATATCACATTAGATGCTATTGTTCTCTCCGATCAGCATAGCTGGCAGGATCCTGTAAAAATTCGAGGGTAGAATCTATTTCTGGAAAGAACCCCGTGATCCATGATTTATAGTCATTTCTAGTTCGCTGGACCATCGCGGCCCCACTGACAGTTCAGTGACATTAAAACTATGACTGTGGTTAATAATACGCAGTAGACCTATAATCGTTAAAGCTGTCGTGTTAACATAGAGGTCCCCATTAACTGAAGATAACCACTTGGTAAGTCCAGATATTGCATATATTCACTTTAATAGTTCTATGACCTATATGTGCCGCAGTATAGATAGAAAATGATTATAAGGAGTGGAGTGATAAGGATGAACTGTTTACTTTCACTAGAACTGGTACAGAGTAAATACTGTGTTTTTTATTTCCAACTTATCCACATTTCAAAAAATTAGAGATCACTATTATCTAGGATTTAAACCTATAGAAAGGTAAGGAAAATATTTTCTATTGTAAGGCGTAAATTAACATTATATTTATTTATATAAGTTATCATTTGAAACATAGATAAGTGGTGTTCATCAAATTAGACATGTATGATATCCCGTAGGCTATGTTCTTGTCTTATCTTAATTTCAACATATCTACCTAACTTGCCAGTTTTGAACATTTCGCAAATTTACCTTACTTGTACCATTGTTTTTAATACAATTCTTGAAATAAATATTAAAAACAAAATGATATTTTGCGGCTTATGATTGGACTAACGATGCACCAATACCATGCAACTGGTGTGGCTATACCTTCTTCTGTTTCGATTTCCAACTATCAAGGGATTTTAAATGTGCAGTCCGTAGGAACAGAATATCCATTTATTGTCCAAAATCTAGGCCTCAAGACTTTATTATATCTGCTTCTCGGACAAACTGTTGGTTTTACTCAATTTTTATTTTGGCCTATAAGAACAATAATGAAATAGAAACATCCTATCCTTTGATCATCCACTGCATTACCCTTGAATCCATGGAAATTGCTGCTTTAAAGAACTACATTTATATATGACGTGTGATAACGTTTAGAAATCGAATCCGCGGCAATCAAAGTTAATACAGTGTTGCCGTTGGTAAACGTGTTCCCATCTTCACAGTGTCAAGCTATAACAAACTTCGTACTTATACCTTGACTGCAATAGCCACTATTCTTGTATCACAGAATGCAGCGATTTTATTGGATTGAAGGCTAGCGAAAACAACTAATCGGAGGCCTCGACAGAAAGGTAGTAAATATTATGGCTTTGTGTTCACAGACTTTCTGTCGGGGTATCTGATTGGCTGTATTCGTAGCGTACAATCCTATCAAACCGCTTCATTTAAAAAGTCCATGTTATAAGAAAGGTGGCTATGGCAGTCAAGGTACGTAATAGCTTGACACTGTGTGGGTGACCAAAGGAGGTAACCCGTTGATCAAAGTAAAATCGGGCGTTGGTAGTTGTGACCCGGGTGATCATTCATCCTACCAAGATGTAGAACAAAATTTGAAATCAGCATCATCTTCTTTAAACATTGAATACCGTAAATAATGCCCTATTTGAAGATGATTTAGTCAAATATTTGTACCCAAGTTAACGTATTATCTATGATGAATATGAGTGCCATTAGCTATTTGAATAACACCAAGCCTATTCAGATACTATTGATTAACGATTCTATCGCAAGGAGGAAACCAAAATAGGTAACATCGTGCTGGTTTTAGAAATGTATTTTGATGGATAATTAAAAAAAAACACTGACTTAATAATGTGAACGTGCAATGCCGCAGTTCCCCTCTTATCTTATGAGTGGATAAGGTAAGCCTTAACGATGATTTGAACGAACAGTTTGTACTTGGTGTCTTAAGCGTACATCAGCATGATTATAATTTGATTTGTGACTTGCAGTTTTCTTCTCATGTTCAATTCAGATCAAAAGAATTTTCGTATCAATATTCTGCCGTAAAATGAATCATTTCATCTCTTCATTTATCTTGGACGGGTTTGAATTTTGCAGTATTTTGCCAGCACAACATAGCTACAAGTGTGCCAATGCTGTATGGTGAACACAATCTGGACAGCAATGGAATGACCTAATTCATAAAACTTACCATTATACCAATGACTATTTATCTAATCTCAAAAATCAAGTTTAGGCATAATTCTGGAGGCTGTAGTATAGTTGCGTTTGTCCAATTCGCTATTTAAATCACTATTATCGCGGTGTGTATTATGTTCTAAGTAATGATATGGTTGTCAACAAGGTGTTGGTATGTTACAATCTCTGACAGCCTGTCATGTACCAGTAATATGTATCCGCAATCAGGATATTCAAACAAGCCGTCACATACGGCGTGCTCTGGTTGCTTATCGGTAAAAATATAATACAAAATGAAAACTTGACTCATTCTATCATTCCCAATATCCTTATTCCTTATATATAAATATCTCAGAACCACGCAGTTTCAAAAATCTGATGCTTGTTGGAATCCAGAGCTTAAATGACATTGTTTCGGTTCACTGTGTTGAAATATGACAATTTATCCCTGGTTTAATGTTCTTTCCCCAACCTGTTCGGGAGACCTAGTGGTTCAGCAAGACAAACGCTTCTCAGTAACATGCATCTTCACAGTGGTTAAGATATTACGAATTCGTTCTAATACAATGGCTATGAAATGTGGCTATTGATGTCAAGGTATAAGACAAAGTTCGTAATATCTTGACAGTTGTGAAGATGAGTAACCAGGGTTATATGCCGATACAGGTTGAGGTAGCCCCATTTTTAATATGGGTCAGTGATGCAGATCAGGGGGCTGACATGGAAACATGTTTGATAGTTCTGATGGCATAACAAAAGAGACCCCTTGTGTAGCAGACTGATACAGATCCTTTGACAATCGGTAATCAGGTTTTGACCGTCTTTATTGGCTCATTCAGGGGCAATTTCCTTTATAAGAAGACATATTATTGGATGTCGGTTATCTCTCGCTTGTTATTTACATTCTATTTACACAAGAAGGATTATTCATTTATTTTGAGTGTCAACGTACATATCAATTGCTTCCTATAAGGACATCGTAACCCATTCATTATCAGTGTATGGTGAAATAGCAATGTTTGCTATTTGTAGGGTCTTCATATTCCCTTCAGTCCAATATATATTGAAAATTTTACTTTCGGTTTTTATCAAATGGTTGAATCATTGGGATCAGAGCGGCTTCAAGAAGGCAAATGTATGACTAATGCCTTCCAAATTAGGTTGCCCACAGCTTAACCGGAAAGCTGCACTGATGACGCTGATGCTGGTTATATCCCATACACATTCCAATAGCATAATGACCAATTGACCACTTGAGGATTTGAATTGTAGAAATGAAAAGACGAAAAACAATTGGCTGTCGCTTTTAACCCATTAATATACAGTATAGGTCAGTGGGGAAATTTTCATGGAAAATATGAATGCAGACAAAAGCTAAACAAGTTGGTCTCTTTATTCGATGGCTTCACCTAATACAAAGATTTGACGGTCACTGGGAATAAAAAAAGATTGTCTTCATACTTTTAGTTTCCATGTTCATCAGAATCCATTTTAGAAAACGTAAAATAGCACAAATTTCGTGTGAAATATATGTTATTGGGAAATCTGGAATAATTTGTTTAAACAACTGAAAAAATTGCAGTTACCGCCAGACGCTCTGTTTTATTTTCTAGCAAAAAAAACCAAAACAAATTGGTTGGCTGGTTAGTTGGTAGATGATAACTAAGACTATCTGCCGATCTGAATATGCACGGATGTTTCACTCAGGTAGACAGCGATTATTCACTGATGAAGTGCCATGATTTTCCAGGCGATCTGAGCCCAGCTTCAAAATTCATACTGTTTTAGTTGATTCAATTTACTGGTGGAATTTCATCATTATAAAACATATGATTCCTGTAGGTAGTCTCAATAGTTTGACAATATAGCTAAGTAGGGGAGGAAGCCATTCTCGATAACTTCATTAAGAGTGTAGGCTAATGGGTTATGGACAGTTATCAATGTATGAAGAACACATAGAAGGAAGTGGTATTAATCAGGTTTCAGTCATTATGATATTGTTATAACGCTGGACTTCATTTTGAATCTCTGGGCTTTGTGATGTGATAAGTGAATCCCATCAAGTTATGTCAGGTCATTTACTTCTCAATTACTATCCACTATACAAAAGCAGCAACGTGTACAGAAAAGAGAATTGTATTGTAATATGTTATTATTATATTTCGGTGACTGAAGATATGCTATTTTTGTGTATTTCAACATGGTTTCCCACGAATGATAAATAAGTGTTCTTTTTTTCTACTACTGTCCTGTCCAATCAAATAAGTTTCGCGATATTAAAAAAACATCTAGTAAACATGATATTTGTTGGATTGTTATCTACATGCCATAAATCGCAATGTTAATAAGGTATTAGGAGATGTCATATCGAGTTATTGTATTAATACGTATAGTTATGATGTGGTTGGTTGAGTCTATTCAAGTCGTATTTTACAGATGAAATCTTATACAGCATATATAATATTTTTGTGTCACGTATACGGATTCTGTTTAACAGTTGACAACAGTTACTTTATTCCTGCAATGTTTCTAATATGAAATAAAATGGAGTTTGTCGTGTGTTGTGCGAAACATTTGCCTGGACATTGGCATCAGTTACCCTTTTTCGATTTAAAACGGCCAGGTGTCTTTAACGAGCACAGCCTGTAGCACACAGGACCTCGGTTTATTGTCCCTTCCCCATGACATCTCGCTCTCAAGTCCTTTAGATGGGGATAATCCATAAAATATTTTTTAGAGAAGATGGAGATATATGAACGCAAATTTAAGAAAAAGAATCCATACCAACTAGTCACGGAAAGTGACATTCTAGTGAAAGGAACTTGAAACAATTTTCACAAATTCATGAAATCGCCTAAAGAATTCTTTAATATTATGCGATCACTTTAAATTTTCTTCTCGCAGGTTTGGAGGTTTCTGTTTTCGATTAAATTATACTTATACTATAACTTATATATGACATGATCAACCGCAACGATCTTTCTCTGTGGAAAAATTGTACATGACTTTGAATTTATATATGCCTATAGAAAAAACTCGTATTGGTTTTCTTGGCATTGCAAAGAAACTCGTTCATCGACATTCATTGACTCTGAAATTGTCTACATATTTATGAGAAATGTCTTGGCAATGTCGTAGTTTGTAGGTGTGATTGCAATGTACTTACTAAAACATAAACCTACCAGAAACGACCAGAAACAACCTGGAAACGATTGGCATTCTCCCAAATGCATATTTTTGAAATATGAGTTACTTGTTTGGCCTAGTTAGCTTGCTTACAATTTATCGCAAAATAGTTTGAAGTCGTTTCCTGTCGTTTTCCTGCTCGGTTCGTGATCGTTTCACGTTTCTGGTCGTTTCTGGTCGTTTCTCACCGGTTCATGTTTTAGTAAGTGCGAATTGCAATGCACTTTTATAGACTATACTTACTCATTGACGAAACTTAATGGAAGCTAAAACTGCACCCCATATACATTTTAGCCTGCAAAAATTCTTTACAGTCCCTTTACATTGCTGTACAAAATACTAATTCAAAAAGCATCAAGTTACCTAAATAAACATGTACTCGTATTTGTAACGGTTTACAAATTTTACTAAAGGCTAATTGTTAAGTAAAATAAACCGTCTTTCAGAAAAAAACACACTGCAATTGAATATCTTTTGACCTTATTTTATACATAGACACGAAACGGAACAAAGTAGTTCTTTTATCTTCCGAGCAGGAGTAAAATATTGATACGCGTGGTAAAAACTGTTTTTCTTTTTGCACCATTCTTCCACACCCTTGCTTCCTAAAATTCAAGAAAAATTCCACCAGATTATGACGTTCCAAACACCCAAATAACATAATAGGACTAGAAAACCACCACTGAACATTATAAAAGGTCACCATTACCCATGTCTATACGCATAGTTCGCACATTCCTGTACAGCATACATGTACTTTTACGGTAAATTGTTTTAGGTTATCCAAGGTCGCATATTTCTCTTTTACAGAATGTTTCGGTAATGATTTAATTATGTATCGGTATTTAGTAACTTTTCAGTTATCACATGTAACACAAGGTAAACGCTGAATAATGAGCTATAATCATGAATATGTTTTAGTTCAGATTTATACCGGTTGTAAACGTAACGACGGGAAGCAATTCATATTGGATATTGTAACATGGACATTTATGATTGTTTAAAACTCTAAATTATATGCAATAAGAACACAATGATTTGATTAAGAATACATGATAATTCATTAGAAACACCAATTAATCAAATAGTTTGCTTAATTTGACATTAAAAAAAGGAAACCTATCTTTAAGCGTTTGCATCACAAAGATTGGCAAATGTGATTTACAATTCATTTTGGTCGGACATACTGACAGAAGGGAATGCCGAGGTTATAAGTCGAACAGTATACGAGATGATCAGTCCTCATTAGAGTCATTGTGAGTAAAAACTCATTGGATTGATTGAGTAACCAAATATCATGGAGAGAACACAATGTTACGGAAAGTTGTGCTATCTGAAGGGCAGGCTTTTAGCTTGAATTAGATTATTTTTAAGTACATCAATATTATGTTATGAATTTTTATTTTAACATATTCTACCGTTTTATTACAAGTTCAAAGCGTGATGAAAAACGAGTTTTGAGAGGGGGTTGTTAAAATTTTATTGCACAATACAGGCCCCGGGAACATTTTTTAATTTTGTAAAGAGCTGATTGTAATCCAACTAAAATATTTTCATTTCCATCGTTGTAGCAGGTTGTCTAGACAAGGTAAGTAATGGAAAACCTAATGAAACTAAGCGAATGAGCATACTTGACAAGATCCTTGCAATGTCAAGCTATTACGTACTTCGTCTTATACTTTGACTGCAAACGTAACCTTTCTTTTATCATGGAAGTTTGTCAATGCAGCAATTTGATTGGATTGCGCAAACGAGTGCTGCAAATGAGAACCCTCGACAAAAAATTTGAAAAAAATAGGCCATAATGTTACTTATGTTATTTATGTCGAGGGTTCTGATTTGCTGTATTTGCTTGCGTACAAATCGTTGCGTTCCGTGATACAAGAAAGGTGGTCATTGAAGTCAAGGTATAAGACAAAGTTCGTAATAGCGTGACATAGTGAAGATGATTTGACAAAGAATTCACAGCTTTGGACGCTGTCCTTTTTATTCATGATATGTGTTTTTTCAGCAGCACAATGGGTTTGGTAATGAGCAGTATCCAGTATATTTTTGGAGGAGGTGAACAAGGATTAGATATTCCTGATAAAGCTACAGGATTAACCATCAGAGAAAAACGACTTATAGTCAATAGTTGGGAACAAATAAAAGTCAATATAAAACAGAATGGTGTGGCATTATTTATTGGGTAAATATATTAATTTAAAACTTTATTCGTTCTACAATTGATGATGTGACCACACAAGGTAACAGTCAACCAGAAAACGCTTGTCAAAGTATGTTAAAGTTGACAAAAGTGGTAATATTATATCTTTAAATTAAATTGGATTTGAAGTCAACCGCACATACCACCCGCCATTTTAATTCTGGGATAGACAATTAAGTGGTCATCACTTTGTTTTTCAGTTACTACTCCGTGTCACTGAAGCTTGCTACAAACAATACCTCGGTCCTTAATGTCAGTAACAAAGGACGAGGACAAAATTTTTTTATGTGTTTCTGAATAGAATTGATTTGATTTTCTGTAAAACAATTTGGTGAGATGTTTTCCTCACAGAGCACGCGAGATCATTTTCAGAGACTGTGCGCTGCCTACTATAACGAAACTTATTTTGTTGGCATCTTCACAATTTCAAGTTATTACGAACTTCGTCTTATACCTTGACTGCAATGACCACCTTTCCTGTATCACAGAATGCATTGATTTGATTGGATTGTACGCTATCAAAATCTGGTATAATTGCACGACCTTCTTTCACGTCAAAAAATATTTTAATGTAAGTTATAAAATATCCAGTTCGTTTGGTTATAACAATTATTGACCTAATATAAAAGATATAGATTAATTGTGTAACCTACATTTAAATCTATGACATCCTTACAGAAAAGTACACATTTACGTACTCATGTGAAAATACCTGTCGGGCACAATTAGACTTGTAGGGTTTTTTTTTGCAAGAAGCCCATGCTGATTCTTACGGCTTACTCTTAACGATTAAGTAAGTCAATAAATTTTCTGGAAACATGTATCCGATCATGAAAATATCAGTGCAATGCATGAAACGCTCTGTTCTAAAATTTTGACTATACCTAGTTCTGAATTTCCGTTTGGGAAGTTCTTTAGCTACAGGGCGGCAAGATCCACCCACGGACCTGCGGTTGGGTTTGTTGGTTTTCATATCGACACAAATTATGTTCATTACTATTATCTTTCTATATCCGGAATAGAGATTTCAGATAGGAAATGATAATTGTGATCTATATTGTATCCTTCATGTGAAAATTGGTCATTATATGATATTGAGATGTGAATATGACCTTTATATCTTAATATCCTTTACCATAACCCATTTAGTAACAGAGGTTTTTTAATGCTTAAAGGGGAAGTCTTCAAAAGTTTTATTATTAGAAAAGGATGTAAATTTTACTTGAAAAGATTCCTTAAATGCTACTGTCTTTATATCTATGTATTTACTTGAACTGAATTTCACAAGAGTGTGCTAGTTGTTAAGTTAATATAGTGTAAACATTAAACCTAATTAGTAGGATACAGATTTCTCTACAATTTATTTTGCTTAAATCAGTCCATAATATATGTTTTCTAAAACCAATCAAAAACATGGTCAGTTTAAAAGTTTTTAATAGTTTCTTCTTAAAATTAACTGCGAAATATTTTAGTTAAACTTTCAGATTGTGTCCTTTTGATAAAAATTTCTCACGTGTTTTGATCTGTTGAATATTTCAAAATTTTTGACTGGTAAAATTTGGGAGCTATCGCCTTGAGATTGAAAGTATGCCTTGTCTTTTCTCTTGTTACATGTCTTGCAGGTATTCAGTATGATATAAAAGTATATTTTCCCTTTCAAATCCCACAAGAAGCTGTTTTACTCAACTACCTCATGCGTATCAATGTTTATGTATAAGATACTTGTCCAATAATCAGCTAGGCAGAAAATATTTTAATCTTATAGGTATCCACAGTATTCGTGGCCATTCGTAGGCAATGACCCTAAAATTGGACATAGATAAAATAAAAATAAAAGATCAACACAAACACCCTAGAAAATACATAATAATGAAATGGAGTTTATCTTCCTACGCTCCTCGGAGTGTTGATGGAAACGAGCGCGACCATACAGTGTACAAGAAGCTTATAATCTTTTCTCGAGTTTTAACTGTCCGTGGAACTTTCAGGTAAAACTCAACCAACAATTGAATTGAAAAAAGTTCTTAAAAGGCATTTGAAGGAGATTTTCCAATCAGTCCATGTATAATACTGCGTTTAGTAGCACATTGTTTGCTGTCAACTCTTAAACAAGTAGGGCTGTAAAGAATTTGTTGCTTTATCACCATGGCATTAACAGCCAAAACATCGGCAGAATCTTGTAACCGTAGTCCAAAGACACAAAAAGGATAGCATAAGTATATAATAGTTCAATTCTTATTTTTCTCTTTTCAGCTATTTTATTGCTTATCCCTATACCCAGGATTATTTTCACAAATTTAAAGGGAAAGATTTAAAACAAGTGGAAAAGAGTGCTCAAATGCGGTCTCATGGTACTACGGTAATGCATGCATTGAACGCTCTGGTTGAAAATCTAGATGACCCAGAATGTCTTGTTGATTTGTTACAGAAGAATGCTGTTACCCATTTTAAACTTGGAATACGTTATCAACAATATAAGGTAATAATATACTATAGATCATGGGATTTCAACTTAGTCTTCAGAAGTACTAAAAAATTGTCATTTCTCTAACTAGGAATTTCACTTTCTATTTCTGTATATGTCTTCTATATATGCCAGATTTTAGAAATGACGAGTTGTCATTTTAACTTTCAAACGCGGATAATTCTGACACACGTGGATTTGAAGTCTACATTTTCAACGGTTAACTATGAACACTATTACTGATTTGCTTAGCTAAAAAGTAAAATTGGTCAAACGAATGGAGAATCTGTCCCTTTAAAGCGTTATGTATGATGTGTTTTAAATTCAAACATTCGTGCAAGATAGGTATAAAAACACATCGATATATCATTGTATTAAATTTACTTTCAGGAATTGTTCGATATGTTCCCCGGATATTTAAAAGATCGCATTGGAGCTCAATGTACCGAACAGACAGTGGTGGCATGGAACAAAGCTACTAACGTTATGTTGTCAATAATTGAAACAGAACTAACTAAGCAATCCAATGTAACGAAATAAAACAGTTGAACCTGTTAAATAAGGACTATTATAACTAATGACAAGATAATAATAGCACATTATGGAAATAGAAAATCTAATTCCGTGTGATAATCTGGTATTTTAATGGATTCAGAACAGTAATAGTATGAATAGTATAAATAGCATCAAATAGACAATTTCCTTGTATAGATTTGTAGTGTAGTGTCGTTACTGAGTTTACTTTTCTGTTGTTAATGCTTGACCACATTCTGGTGTCCAGCACAATTCAGAATAGATATAAGTATACATATGCATTTTTGGGGCTGCTTCAAGAGTAGACTACTTGTGAAAAAAGAAAGTTACATAAATGTTCTTATACTGTTAGTATATGTTTGCTTATTTACAATCATGTACAGGTATCAAGGAGGCAGCCATAAAGGAAACACTTTTTATTCTCTGATCAAAAACCACAATATCATTGACATACTTTTATTATTATTTTTATCATTATTATTATCATTGCATTTTGAATCAAAGGTGGCTCCCTACTGCCACACTTTACTTGCATGTCGGAGCCATTTATGTTTATATTTGCACACTCTCGATGACACAATAAAGAAGGTATGAATAGATCTGTAAAAGAACAATCTTAATCGACAATGTGTGCACCAACCTACACAACCAGATAATTTAACGTTTCAAAATATTTGATATAATCGGTGAAATCAACATTACGGAATCACAGATATATCTCTTAACTGTTTATTTTGATTTCAGCTGGTATAGCAAACAATTTTCTCAGTGTATTCCTATAATAACAGGTTATCGGAATTCTAGCTGTCTTTAAATTTCTTTATTTATTAATATAATTATACAATATTATTGTTTAACATTATAATACATGTAATTTTATTATAATAAAAACCAAATACAGCCTGCAGAAGGCGAATTTGTGGTCTCTTCAAATAGCTAAGGCCATAACATGACGCCATCTTCCCATCAGAGGTCAAATTAATGTAAAAAGAGTGTTCCCGACGACACATGTTTGTGAAAATACCCAACAAGAATCATTAGATACAGCAAAACTAAGAATCCAGGAAACCTTAAGGTAACTCCCCGATATTGAATCTGAATTGTTTTTCATAAATGTATATATAACTCTATGCTTTTACTCCATACTAAATGTATATAGGCCTACTCAAAAGCGCTTGATAATTGGCTAGATTGATTATAAAGCTCCAATAGGGGGAATATATGCAACCTATGTTTGAACATTTTGTTCTTCACAATACTTGTTAATATTTCCCTACTCCCTACCATCCGGACTCACTGGAAGTACAATATACACATCGGTAATGCAAATGTAGGAAAATCTATGCAAAATAATAGGAACACAAGCAATTGGATACGATTGGGTAATTAGATTTAATATTGAAGTAGAATGGTTACATATCAAGGCACATTTTATTTAATGAAAACATAAACAATTAAAGGGAGGTAACTGGAATTTACAACTATAAAATATGCACACGCAATATTATAGTTTTAGTTGTCCAACAATCTCGTTTCTGTTACCTTTGTTAGGCCTGCTTTGAACAAGGCTATCTATCCAAATGTTAGTGACTCAAAGTGGAACAGGCTTAAGTTTAATACGCACCAAGTCAGTAGTACACATCATTATATAATGCACATCCTTGTATTATACGCACCTCTGTATTGTACACATTAATGCGTCATAGTCTACGCACCAATATATAGTAGACAACAAATCTTATAGTACACACCAATAACACGCAACCTTGTATTGTACGCAGCAATGTATTGTAAAATGTATCACATAGTTTTGAATAGGTAGAGTACGCATCCTTGTATTATACGCACCTATTTAGGCTATTGTACATACCAATGTATCAATGTATAAAATACACAAATCGTATGCTATACTGAAAAGCTAGTTCAAGAGTTTCCCCAAACAAGGAAATCACAGTGTAAGTAATGAGTTAGTAAGGTATTAATATGAAGATGAAGACGTCTACGCTCGGAATTGACTTTTAGGCCCTACTGGACAACGAATTTGTGGATTTTGTTCCTTACTTAACAATATGAATTAGATAGTGCCCGAGATTCAGAGAAATGCAGCAATTATCTCAAGTTTAGAACATCTGCGACTACTGGCAAGTATTATTTTCAAAGGTCGATCAAGTCCAGCGATTAATAAATCTCAAGATGCTACGTCACTACTTGAAAATTGCTCTCAGATTCTTCCAGACATAATGTCGACCCGAAACCCGCCTCTGCCCTTCTCCTTAATAGTTCTGAATGGACAATTTTTCAATGAGATAAGACATATAGACTGATGCCACAATTGGGTGTTAGATTTGTTAGTTGAAGATAGCTTGTAGTCCAAGAAAAGCTTGTTAGATCCATTTCCCCCACTAACAATTTATATACACACGAAGGTGGACTGTCCATTTGACCGTCAAATAAAAATTATATGGTCTACAGTTAGGAATTTGAATAAATGAATAAATTGTAGTTATCTCTCATGTCAAAGGCAAAGTAAAATGACACCTAAGGGATATGGCACTGCCGTAAACACACTTCCAAAAGGCCATAAAATACTTATTTGCATATTTCTATTGTTTAGTTCATAATCATTCATACAAAATTAACACATTTCTCACATTAGTTAAACTAGGTTATAATTTTACGCTAAATAAAGAGGTGACAGTTGATGGTACCTCTCGTCAATAACTGACAAAATTGTAAGCTTATGCAAATGCCTTGGTATAAAACTCAACTGTCAATGAAGCTCCTCGTTAGCTCAACAACCACAAGAAAGTTAGGACATAGGATAACATTTCACTTCAGTATTTTTCTATTCCACAAACAGAAACACAAGAAGTAACTAAATTTATACTTTATTCACTAGAAATGGATTTCAATAAACAAACTAAATGGGAGAATATAAGAAATGTAAATACAGCAGAAGACAATAGAGAGAGTCAACAGTTGCCTACTTATAACTGTTTGAATTCTTATAAAATAGAAAACACGCCAGCAGAGTAATATTTTACAGTTTGTGCTTGATGAACCCTACTGGTTATTGAACATGGTAAATTAAGGCATAATTGTCATAGTTTCAAAATCTGATAATAAATATCTATGTATATAAGGTATTGCTTGATTTTTTACAAAACGGTCAGCATATTTTGTTTCTGATTTGATACTTAACTTTGTTTCTGATCAAAGTTTCTTTCGTATCAGATGTCAATTTTGTTCCTGATCAGATATCAAAGTCTATTTTTGATCAGATATCAAAGTCTATTTCTGAACAGACGTCAATTTTTGTATCTGAACAGACATCAATTTTTGTTTTTGATCTGATATCAAATTTTGTTTCTGTTCAGATATCAAAGTCTATTTCTGAACAGACGTCAATTTTTGTATCTGAACAGACATCAATTTTTGTTTTTGATCTGATATCAAATTTTGTTTCTGTTCAGATATCAAAGTCTATTTCTGAACAGATGTCAATTTTTGTATCTGAACAGACATCAATTTTCGTTTTTGATCTGATGTCAAATTTTGTTTCTGATCCGATGCCAATTTTGTTTCTGATCTAATGTCAATTTTTGTTTTTGATCTAATGTCAATATTGTTTCTGATCTGATGTCAAATTTTGTTTCTGATCCGATGCCAATTTTTTGTTTCTGATCTAATGTCAATTTTTGTTTTTGATGTGATGTCAAATTTTGTTTCTGATCTGATCTGATTCCTTCCTCATCATATTTTGAATTATGTTTTCTAGGACATTTTTCTCAAAAATTTAACTAAGTTTAGTGTTCATGTCATCCACTAAAGTCAATTTCAAATCACTTTTTTAATCTAGATTTATCTTAGTTAAGTTTTTTTGAGAATAAGACCATGGTAACTGATAGATGGTATTTGTATTTTCTGTTCGAAGGTCGCAATGATTTTTTTGTAAATCAGTAACAAGATAATTTTTGGCACAATATATTTTCTTAGTAGATTACTGAATTGAATTTATTGAGTTGAAAATCTATCTTATTCTAATGAGATGAGTTAATGTAAAACCGAATTATATCATAAATTGTCAAAGAAAAAGGAATATAAAGTTTCACCAAATTTTCTTTTTTCTTTATAGCATTTAACTGCTGCGATGATATATTGATGAACTTAATATGTTGGTTCAATTTCAGATGCAACTACTAAAAAAAGTCACATTTAATTTCATTACATAATAAAGGATTTAAAATGATGGAAGCCCATTAGAACAGTATCAGTAAAAAATTTAGCACTTTCTGTTCAGAAATCAAAACATTTTCATCATATAATCAAGAATATGTGTACTCTCTGACAAATAATAGCTTGAAATGTAAGAAATGCCCTTAACAGAAAATAGATATAATTGACATGGCAGTTAAGAAAAAAGAAATTAAAACATCACCAATAAATCTTTCAATTATGCATTTCACATTTGAACCAAAATGATGTTTTATGCTGAATTACAGGGAAAACCTCAATTTTAATTTTCATAGAGACATAAGAGATGACATGAATTCACTTACTGTGTGCATTCAAATGTAAATTAGAATCAACTTAAAAGTGGAATCTCACAAAGACAAAAAAATTATGACAAACAGTCAAGAGAGACCAACAACATATTTCAACGCATAATGGGAAGTGTATAAAAATATATTGCTTCATATGAGACTGATAGTTTGGAAGCCTGAATTAAAAATTTAAAAATCTTAGATAAAAGCAGAATAAAAAAAAAATGCCATTCGTTTACTTTATCTGAATATAAAAACTTAAAATATGCCTTAAATATATCCTTCCTTTGTGACCATTATTGTTATAAAGAGAAATTTCATATACCCGTTTCACAGCAGTTTTATCACTTTAAAACATTGAGTTTTATTCTCAACTAACATTTTGGCAAGAGAAATATGAAGTCAACTGCACCATATACTTTCTAATCAGCAGTTTGTGGTTTCTTTTTTTTTGTTTCCGTCCTGAGATTTCACATCCTTTATTTTATAAAAAAAAACCACATTGATGAACATTATCCACTGATCTAGAAAACTGTACACCAGGTATGTACGTTCAAAAAGAGTATAAAAACATCACAGATTGAAAATTGGATTAAAAACACAACCATTCAAGCACAATGTTAACTATCCGAGTTGTTCTGTTGACCTATTCTAGGACCAGTAGGTAGTGGAATGTTTAAGTGATTTAAAGATGTATTATTGTCACTATCATTATGATTGGAAGACCTTACATTATTATGACACTGTAATGTACAATTATTAGCCACAGTCTGTTTAGGATGATTGCTATTATTAAAACTACATGTACACATATGTACACAATCTGAAATAGATAAACATAGTAACTATAAAATATTTTTTTTAATGCTTATATCATAAGTTATTGATCAAGTACAAAGGAACGTAATACTTTCTTTCCATGAATTAGCACCCCTCACAAACCCAATGAGTTATTTTCAATGGAAGTTTAGATTTTCTCGCCATGTTATATCTTGTATTTGTTCTAAACAATCATTATCTGTTTTAAAAGAGGAGTTGATAGACCTTCTTTCTTTGTTCAAATCAAAAGTACCAGTGCACAACTGTTTGGCAACTTTTATTAAATAAAATCTGTACATTTCTGATTAGAATGAAAGATTATGGAAATGAAATCAGAAACTATATTTAACAATCTGTTTCAAAGAAACAATATAATGTACAAACCTGAATAAGAAGGAGGGATAATTTGATCACATGTTTTACTTGGTGAAGTTAGACCACAATAACCATTAGGTTGGTTACAGTCACACCCCATATCTACAATAAAATTATAAATTATAAATATTATTGCATTACATTGTTAGAAATACCTCATTAAGAAACTGGGAGAGGTTAAACTGAAAATAGATCATCTCGAGCTGCAGCTAAACATGTTTTTGATACATAATCTTCATTAGTATCAGTAAAGTAAGCAAATTCGCTGAACAACAGCCAGGTGGTAATGAATATGATCTCTTTTTAAACTACTTTCAATTTTAACTTTTAAATCATTATTACCTGGGGGATGTTTCTTTTTCTTCATATGATTATGTTTATAACAATTATCTAAGGTGTCGCCTCTCGAATGAACACCCGAACGTACACTGTGTATTGAGGAGGTACTGGTTGATTTAGGGATAGCACCCCCTATAAGTTTATTGTTTATACAATGTGGACATTTGGAACTGTCCTCAGGCAACAAGTGATCCTGTACATCATTTTGACATTGATTGTTACTATTATTAGATACAATAGGGTGGAATGTTTGTACACAAGGTGAACTATGTGTACTGCTTAAAGTGTCTGTTTCACTATTAGGATAATTAGCACTAGCTAAACTGTTTTCTGAAATGTCAAATATAATACATCTTTAGTAAATACATTTCAAAAACGGTGGAAAAGAAAATAATATAATTTCTAGGGCTTCACCTTCACAAATATAAAACAGGCTTTTTGGCTCTCGCCATTTTAAATAGAAAATGACATAATGAGATAATAACTGCACTGAAGAACATTAATAATGACACCACATTCAGGGCACTGAATTGCTTGTATGGGAACCAAGAGTCAAATCTTAAGTCTGAAAAGTGATACAGATACCTGCATCTTCTGTTCGAGCAAATATTGACTTTGATGTGGGAAAGTAATCAAGAATAACCTTAACATTAGTGCGTTTCAATTAATATTTCAATTCACCAATTTGGTAGAAAGAATTGATAAAGAATTTTTTTTTAAATAATTGTTACCTGCTGAACCTTTATTTAAAGCCAGATGTAAACAATGTTCAACAGTATTATCAACATCACTAGGAAATATAGCTGTTGTACGTCCACAATCTGTTCTTAATCTATCATAACTACCTTCTTTTAACTGATAGTCTGTAAAATATAAATTATTAAAACATTAAAACTATTCTAAAAAAAAATGTGATGAAAGAGATGTTTTAGATCCTACTTCTCAGCACCTAATTAGATTAATAATGACCCAATAAAAACTGTTGGGATTTTACTAGGCAAATTTTCTATTTCCAATTCTAATTTCACTTGCAAGATGATACTGGTTGCAAGTATATCATTAATAGATTTATTTCTCCCTCAACCCCCTCATGATAAGTATCTCTACTTATCACGATAATTGTGATATGTGTATATTGGTATGGGAGTATATGTAATATCTCTACTTATCACGATAATTGTGATAAGTGTGTATTGGTATGGGAGTATATGTAATATCTCTACTTACCAAGATAATTGTGATCTGTGTGTATTGGTATGGGAGTATATGTAATATCTCTACTTACCACGATAATTGTGATGTGTGTATTGTATTGGTATGGGAGTATATGTAATATCTCTACTTACCAAGATAATTGTGATCTGTGTGTATTGGTATGGGAGTATATGTAATATCTCTACTTACCATGATAATTGTGATGTGTGTATATTGGTATGGAAGTATATGTAATATCTCTACTTATCACGATAATTGTGATATATGTATATTGGTATGGGAGTATATGTAATATCTCTACTTACCATGATAATTGTGATATGTGTGTATTGGTATGGGAGTATATGTAATATCTCTACATACCATGATAATTGTGATGTGTGTATATTGGTATGGAAGTATATGTAGTATCTCTACTTACCACGATAATTGTGTATTGGTATGGGAGTATATGTAATATCTCTACATACCATGATAATTGTGATGTGTGTATTGTATTGGTATGGGAGTATATGTAATATCTCTACTTACCACGATAATTGTGATATGTGTGTATTGGTATGGGAGTATATGTAATATCTCTACTTACCATGATAATTGTGATATGTGTGTATTGGTATGGGAGCATATGTAATATCTCTACTTACCACGATAATTGTGATATGTGTGTATTGGTATGGGAGTATATGTATTATCTCTACTTACCACGAAAATTGTGATGTGTGTATTGTATTGGTATGGGAGTATATGTAATATCTCTACTTACCACGATAATTGTGATATATGTGTATTGGTATGGGAGTATATGTAATATCTCTACTTACCATGATAATTGTGATATGTGTGTATTGGTATGGGAGCATATGTAATATCTCTACTTACCACGATAATTGTGATATGTGTGTATTGGTATGGGAGTATATGTAGTATCTCTACTTACCATGATAATTGTGATATGTGTGTATTGGTATGGGAGTATATTTAGTATCTCTACTTACCATGATAATTGTGATAGGTGTGTATTGGTATGGGAGTATATGTAGTATCTCTACTTACCATGATAATTGTGATAAGTGTGTATTGGTATGGGAGTATATGTAATATCTCTACTTACCACGATAATTGTGATAAGTGTGTATTGGTATGGGAGTATATGTAATACCTCTACTTACCATGATAATTGTGATATGTGTGTATTGGTATGGGAGTATATGTAGTATCTCTACTTACCATGATAATTGTGATAAGTGTGTATTGGTATGGGAGTATATGTAATATCTCTACTTACCATGATAATTGTGATATGTGTCTATTGGTATGGAAGTATATGTAATATCTCTACTTACCACGATAATTGTGATATGTGTCTATTGGTATGGAAGTATATGTAATATCTCTACTTACCACGATAATTGTGATATGTGTGTATTGGTATGGGAGTATATGTAATATCTCTACTTACCACGATAATTGTGATATGTGTGTATTGGTATGGGAGTATATGTAGTATCTCTACTTACCATGATAATTGTGATATGTGTGTATTGGTATGGGAGTATATTTAGTATCTCTACTTACCATGATAATTGTGATAGGTGTGTATTAGTATGGGAGTATATGTAGTATCTCTACTTACCATGACAATTGTGATAAGTGTGTATTGGTATGGGAGTATATGTAATATCTCTACTTACCATGATAATTGTGATATGTGTCTATTGGTATGGAAGTATATGTAATATCTCTACTTACCACGATAATTGTGATATGTGTGTATGGGTATGGGAGTATATGAAACATCTTTTTCCGAAGAAGCATAACCAGAACTAGGTAATTCAGCAGGTAGAGTTGTTTCATCTAAATTGACAAAAGGAAGAGTTTTAATGAAAGTGGCTAAAAAAAATGAAAAAAAAAAAATAGGGAATCGAACTCTTAGTGAATATCCAGTTTTTACCAAAATTGTGAGGAATTTCAAGAGTCCCTTTTATGCAACACTTTAGAGCTTTTGAAATGCCATGAATAAACTTTCTGAATATTTAAGCATTGTAAATATTTAAACTAAGTGAATTATGTTAATTTCATGTGAATTTGAAGGTGTGTAGGTACCAAGAATGTATTAATATTTTGAAGTAGCAATTTGATGGCATATAAGTATTAAAACAAGTCCATTATACACTAGATAGTGACTTTACACCCTCATTCAATTTTTACAAGTTTAACTTTTGAAATTCCACCCATGTACTTATACTAGTGATAGTTTTATATAAAGCTGAGCACTAAGCATGTGAATTGAAACAGAATTCAAAACGCAGTAATGTTCATATCAGTGATTCAAATAGACTTCAAAAATATTAAACTGACCTGTAGGTGTAGCACTATATAACTCTGGTCGTTTTCTAGTTTGATATATAATAATCACCCAAACTAATGATGTTCCCACAACACAACACACTACAGCAATAATAATAATACCAGTAGTGGTAGATTCATCATCTAAAGAAAATTTCCTATCATTCACCTCCCCTTCTGATGTAACCGTCAACTGAGAATTACCACGTTGTGTGCCAAGGGTATTGGACATCTCACACGTATACCGACCACCATCAGACTTCTTAGTTTCCACAATAATCAGGAGTTGGTTATCAGCAGTGAAAAAGTGACGTTCAGAAACCTCCAGGGCCTTGTTGTCTTTCAACCATGTTAATTTAGGTTTAGGACTACCTGATGCCATACATTCTAACACTGTTGTTTCTCCTTCCTTTGTGTGTTTCTTATCTTCCATTTTACGTATAAATGATGGTGTTTCTGCAAAAATAAAAGAAATAATTGAATGAAGCTGAGCAGATATACATATACATAGTTCTACACAGAAAATTGCTTTTTGAACTACACTACGTCTGTTCATTTGAGAAACACTAATAAGATAATGCAAAACGTCTATATTTGTAATTGCTAGGAATTAGGGTTTTCTGACAGCTCATGCAGTTGTCCCGCTTTCTTCAAATTATTAACTTTAATATTGACTTACCCAATACAGTTACACTGACATTAGCCACAATGGTACCAGCCACATTTTTAGCCGTACAACTGTATATACCCTCATCAATACTTTTAACATTGAGAATAAAGAAAGTATCATCATTAGGTATAACTCTCATTCTTCTCTCTCTAGCAGCTGGAAAGTCATTTCCACCATCTTTCTGCCAGGCTATTTCTGGTTTTGGTTGCCCTTTAGCTGAACACTCTAATTTAGCATAACGCCCAGCTTTTACTGTTACATCTTTTGGTGTTTTACTGAACACAGGAAAAACTGAAAAAAAAACATGTTTCACTGAAAACACTCTTTATGGTTTAACTCTTCACAGACAGGTTGAGAATGATGTGAATAGTGTATAATAGAGACAGAATAATTTTGATAACACTATGGTTGCTCCCCTTGAATTTAAATTGGTGTTTTGTAATTATCTAAACAGCACAATGTTCACCGGTATTCAAATTGCAAAAAAACAGAAATTACATTTTCTTGACCTTCATTCAGATATTATATTTTTTAATTTTTTTTGATGACAATAACATCATTTAACAAATGAAAGTATCAGCTTACCATGAACACTAATTTCAGCTCGTTCAGAATAAGCTGAACCAAATTCACTGGAAATTACACATTGGTACTTTCCTGAAGCATTATCTTGAACATTGAAGAGATGTAACATGGTAGTATAGGTTATAACAGTACCATCACTAGTAGCTGTCGTAACTATATTAACATTGGTCAATAACTGAAAAAAAACAATTTCCAAATAATTGTCATACAATAATTTCATCAGTGGCAACACTGGTTGGTAACTGAAAGCCTATTACCAAATAAGTTTCATCAACTAAGGCCAGACCAATTATTTTCTCTGGTAAAATCTGCCAAGGCAGGAAGGTCTCTAATCTTTGACCCTTAAAAAATACCATTTATTTGAGGAATCCAATGCAATAGGGAATAACATCTGGATTTTTAAACTTCCAAATGGGTCAGATTAGTTTAGATATTTTATTAAATAACTCACATTATTATCTTTCTTCCATGTAAAATGAGGTTTTTTATTACCAGTAATGGTTGCTACACATGATAATGTAATGTTATCAGATTTTAAAGCAATTTTCCCTTTTGGATCTTCTACAATAACTGGCTTTGGGAATTCTTTGTCATCTAAAAATAAAATATAATATAAAGAAATTACATTATCATTTTTAATAAGCTGTTGGTTAGCTCTATGAAATACAAAGTTTCTGGATTGCTCCTAAATCTTAAAAAATTCTTGAGAGAATTACAAATGTGATTGGTCACTAAGGTGGAAGGTTATTTTTAAACACTTAGCACAGAAAATTTGGTATTCTTCTTTTCTTCATGACTTAACATAAATAAGCAAGATTCCAATTGTTAAAGTCATTAGGATATTTGAACTTACTGCATAGAAATTCTTCAGAAGGTATTTCGAACACGTTCTTCCCTTTCAACTTGGCAGGATGAGCACAAACAGCACTAATAGAATTCCTGAAACCAGCTTGACTTAACCATTGTGGAAACCATGACAGTTGACAATCACACAATAAATTACTTGAGTTAAAATATCTACAAATAAATATAAAGAGAGTGATTATGAAAAAAAACAGAAAGAAAGCAATCGAAAACAGTAATGAGGCAAGTTTAAGGCTAAAATGCAATGTCACATATGTCAAAAAGCCATTATATTCATAAAAAGAGGATGACAATCAGCAAGATGTAAAAACAAAACAGCTGGAACCCTACATGATGTTACAGAATTGTAAATCCAGGTGTCAGTGGAAAGAGAAAGAGATTTTTGTTCAGTGCACTCAACCCACTAAGGGAGAACATAAAAGATCTTATTTCTGGCAAAAACATTTAAAATCGTAAATATACACTTAATGTATCTGTATAACCCTCTATACTTACAATTCTTGAAGGTCTGTCAATGGCTTGAAGGCATTCTCTTGTACAGAAGTGATTGCATTATCTTCTATGTGTAATATACGTAGTTTCTTTAAACCTTGAAATGCCTCTCCCACAATAGTCTTAATCTGATTGGTTCTTAAACTGAGTTTATTTAAATTCTCTAGTCCCAGAAATACACCACTAACATCTTCTATGGTCCATGATAACAAGTTATGGTTGATTTCTCTGTAATATACAATAATAATATAACATTGAACAGTCCTTTTAAAGAACCTTTTAATTTAATTTGATAAAACAAAATTTGGTTTCACTATATTATGATTTTAATATCCAAATATAATATGAAAATCTATGCCAAATACAATTATTACATTTAGGTGGGGGCTCACAAGCGGTCTTGGTCAGAGATTTTTGTCACCGACTGGCACAGGCACACGAGAAGACAAAAATCTGCAGTGGGTCAGTTTCCATCATGCCGATAATCATGTGCTGTCTGTCTTGCAGACGATAAAACTGTCAGACAATTATCAAACTTGTTTGATATCATAAATCCTGTCAGGACGCAATAATCTTGTCGTGGAAGCACAGGCACATGTGAGATTTTACTCAAGCCTCTACTTGGCAATAAAAATCTTCAACCATGACTGCTCGTGTGCCGCACCTTAATACTATGAAGACTTCAAGACTACTGTCAGTTTTCCATTTAAAAAGTGAGAGCAGCAAATTCTTTAATTTTTCCAGGATCAATGAAACAATGATAGTAATAGTTAATATCAATAATTTTTATCATTGCGATACTCTTCATAATTCTAAATATTTATAGAGGTTCGTTGGATGTCAGATTACACAGAGAACTCTGTAATTACAACTTAAACTTACAATAAATCTAGAGATGTCAAGTCTCTAAAAGCCCCATCATCAATTCTAGATACCATGTTATGATCTAGGTATAAATTCTGTAAATCATGTAACTTGGCAAAAGACTTCTCAGCTATATAAGATATCTTGTTATGGGTCAGATCTCTGTAAATAAATTAATCATATGTTACATTAGGTTACAATCCTGAAGAATTTTCAAATTTCAAGGGGATGGGTAGCTTTACTGTCACCAAATGTACAAGTCTGAAGTGGTCTGGGTCAAGGAAGGTTTTGAATTTGGGGAACATTCTTTAAAAGTGAGGACCTTTATAGGCCTCTTACAGCTACTTTCAACAGTGCAACACTCTTCAGACCCAAGTAAAATAGAACATAATACAGTATAAACTCATTAAGTTTTAAGAAAAGTAAAACATGACTACATACACAAAATTATAACTTACAGTTTATGAAGACTTTTACAGAAATCCCAACTCACAGATTCTAATGGCTGGATTCGATTATTGGATAATGTTCTAAAAAAAATGGAAAAAAAATGAATAATATAAAATCATCATCTTCAAACCTATTTAAACTTGAACATTTTTTTTTAGTTGCTTGTTTAATGTATTGACATTGTGACAATATATATTTGGTAGTTTTAGAGAAAATAATCTTTTTTAATAGTACATTTAATCAAAGGGACAGATTCGCTATTTGTGGGGGTTGATCTCGTTCTAGGCACGAAAATCTCATAACTCAAACTGAAGGCTCAAATTTTGACAGTGAGTGTGAACACTATTACTGATTACATTAGCTAATTAATTTGAGACTTAGGTAAGATTGGTGAAACAAAATGCAAATCTGTCCCTTTAATACAAGGAAACTATTAAAAACAACAATATTTTTACTTACAATATTTTTAAAGAATCTAAACCATACAGCCAAGCTTGAGTAACATTGGTAATCTTGTTATGGTCCAATTGTCTGAAAACATAAAACATGGGTCGATTGGCCAATGCACATCTTGTAGCACATGCAGCCTTGGTTTATTATCCTACACAAGACCATTCTTACTTGTCAGATACTTTTTTTCTCAAATACATAATAAGAGTAAAGAAGTTAAAACCGCTTTGTAAAGTCAATTGATAAGTGCTAGATCAAAATGCCAGAAAAGCCAGATTTATCTGAATATACTTACAGGTTTTGAATGTTGTCCAAGCCATAGAATGCTCCATCTAATAGTTTCGTTATAGAATTTCTTTTTAATTTTAAAATTTGAAGGTTGGTTAGTCCTTGAAATGTTAATCCTTCTATAACTTCTATTTTATTTCTCATTAATTCTCTGTAATTAATAACAACATTTTTATCAGACAAATATTGACATCTTAGAAATCCTTTAGTTATCACCTTTGCTCTCTTACTTCAATGTTTACTGGATTCAATTTTGGAAATTATTTCCTTATGAATTGAAATATCAATGAAGTGTATCTATTTCAAATGTAAAATCACTGAACCTTATATTTCTATGGACATGAAGACATTCTAAGACAAATGGTTAACAATCGAAAATTCTATTTTGAATATTTTTGAAATAAGAGAAAAAATTCAATTCAAAGCTTAATGTAGCCAGAGAGTAGGTATCATACTACCATATTGGATTCTTAAAGAAACCACGAAATCAATCTCACAGCTATTTTCATAACTTAAAATCACTAACTAATACTTTTTCAAATATTTAAAAAGAATTTAATGACATCTTGGAATTCCTTTATGTATGATCAAATGCTGACAGAAATACAACCATACTAACAACAACACCTATTAATATTACTTAAATAACAGACCAATGAAATAACATGTCACTCAGTGAATGACACGCCCACTGACTTAGACAGACAGGACGATGCATAAACAATAAATCGAACAGCACTACTTACAGAATTTTCAGATTGGTCAAATTAGTGAAAACCATTTTATTTAGTTCCATTATTTTGTTTTTGTTCATTTTCAACCATTCTAATGAAGTAAGATTATCAAGACATCCCTTTTCTAAACTGATAATTCGGTTATTGTTCATAAATCTACAAGAGAAAATGTTACAATATTTCATTTAGTACAAATCTAAGAAGGCTATATTTACATTTCTGTCAGCTGATACACTTTCAAAATAAAAACAAAATGAAGAAAATGTCTAACCCTGCATAATGTCCCTTTTTTATCATTTATAAATTTTACCTGAATATAAATCATTTAATTAAAAAGTCTACTTACAATTGATGTAAATTGGATTTGGTAGGAAAAGTGCCTAGAGGGATATCCATTATTTCATTATAATTTAAGTCCATCACTTTTAAATTTGGTAAATTTTGCATAGCTTCTGGTTTAATGGTTATTATTCGGTTGTGATTCCTATAAATTATATAATGTACAGTGTTAAGATTCAAACAAACAAATCCAGTTGTAAATCAGTATCAGTTGTTCACAACAATGAACATGACCTGACTGGTTAGTGACACACAGTACAGCTCAAAAATTTTGTATCATTAGTATTAATTACACAGGATAATAAAAAAAAAAGACATCTTTAACACAGATAATGGCAAATGAACAATTAGATAAAACAATGTCAAATCTTAATCCAGGCAGTTCATCTAATTCAACAAACCAATTAGGACATTCACTTGCAATTCAGCATGGGATTAACTTGGGATTAATGGGATATAAATAACATCAAATGTGCAAGGTTTATCAAAATCCAACCAAAAATTTAGTTCCTTCCACCTTTCAGAAAGTCAATTATGATGTGTTTTAAGGGCAACAAAATGTTGTATTAATTCTTCTCATGGTTTACATATTTTCATCCAAATCAGACCAAAACTGGCCTTAGTCAAAAGATGAACATTCCAGGAATAATAATCTAATAATTACCAATATAATACTTACATATAAAGATTTTGTAGTGAAGAATTTGGTGGAAATACTGGAAGCTCTGCTAATTTATTATGATTAATTTTTCTGTACAAAAAAAAAACAACAGGGTAAATTTGAAAAGATTCATGATTGAGTTTTCCTCAGACTCTAGGACCTACATTCACAATTCTCTTACTTCCACCTGACCTACTTCAAGTTAAATGAAGATATTGTTGATATAATGTAGATATTCATCTATCTTTAGGATGTGGACTCTATTCTGGGAACTTGAACCCAATATTGGGGAAAAGGTCATTGGATTTTTTTTTTATTTGAATCGTTTTTTACGGCTCTCTTCCGATTTTTTGGTTCAGCTAGAAAACTTTTAACCATCGAAATCATAGAAAAACAACTTACAATGTTTGTAAATGCTGTAAATCTTCAAAAACTGTATTATTTATAAACTCAATATCATTATTACTCAAATCTCTGTAATAAAAGAAATAAGGGGGTTAACAATTTTATAAGAGTTATTAGGGTCTAATATGACTTAGTTTTTTGTTCGATATCCTTTCCACTTTTAAATAAAAAAAATTGTGGTCACTATGAAAAACAAAAGTCTTGAGTAGAAGTGTCAAGGTTTGAACAGGTGCACCTGGAATCTATAGAAAACAACTAGTGAAAAGCCAGTTCAAGTGATCTTATGTCGACCTAGTTGCTTTCAATAGCTTAGACCTGGGTTGCTTTTCTAGCATAGTCGTCATAAGCTCCACTTAAGATTCCCATTTCTCACTCATATATATTCTATTGTATTGTATTATTTACTAAAGACACCACTTGTCCTCTATCAAGTAGAGGTCACTTTCTTGAACTCTTTAGAGATCAAATAAGAAGGGGTGTCGTAAACAATTGATACTATACAGGGGTGTCTCAATACAATGTATCAATACAAATCTTTCAGTATTAACATTTGCAATATTTATGAGTTGCATTCAATTCAGATCATTTCTATTCAGATGATTCACATTTATATCACACAAAACCCGTAGTACTACTTTCTTGAATTTTGAACAATAAGTTCACCTAAACACACATCTTGAGTCACTTCTTTATTTGATATTCAGCGATATAACACAATAATATCCTTATTTCCCACAGTCAAAAAATACATATAGAGGCATTCTCAGTTGATGATTTATACTTTTCCTTGTGAATATCCGGTTAAAAGTTAATGATAAAATTTATTACTAAATTCCAAGCAATAAGCTCTTGATGCAATTCAATTTTTATGTGAAAATATTACCAAGAGCCTGTTTTAAAGTGAAAATCCATTGAAAGCAATTCTTTTGAACATGTTTGATTATTCTTTAAAATAGTACCATACCCAAAAAGCCATTTTGTGCCAATATGGATTTGTGTTAAATATATTCAGCTTTGAAATTATCCTAAAGATAGTAACCTTAGAACAGATTTCCAAATGTTACTAGACTTCAATACCTGGGATACACATGCTTAAAATTTAATCCATCATTTTATGGGGCTAAACACAATTGCATATACTTACAATAATTTCAGATTAGGCAAGTCTTTAAAAGCAGTTGGTTTAACTATGGTAATTGCATTATCTTTTAAATCTCTGAAACGACAAAAAGAAGAAACCATGAGATTTTCATTGACACTGGCGAATATTGTCAGGCGATTACAGGTAAATAAAATACATCTTGCTGAAACAAGTTCTGGATAAGGTTTGTATAGGAGATCCTCTCTTGAAACAATTACCCAGGTCAAAAGTAGACAGCTTGGATATCAGCATGGGAATAGATCAATTAAAAAGACTTTTTACTGTCAGAAATATATACATCGAAATTTATCATATCCAATACAATTGCATAAGGAAGATAATGGAAGGAGACCTTGCCATGGACATTAAACATAACTAATAATTGTTTTCTTATTTAGTATATATAAATATTCTGTATAATTCTGAATTTTAGAGATGTTTTGCATTTACAAACTAATCAGAAATCATTTTCAACCCACAAACACAGACCTATTGATATATTTAGATAAATTTGACTAGATTTGATTTGATATGAGATGCCAACTTGTTGCTCACAGATTCAGATCAGGACAACAAATGGTATTACACTAGCAGAGAGAAAATCGTAGCTCAAACCCTTCTAACACTAGTTAACAATTTGTAACTGATCAAACTCTATCTGACAAAATCATTACATTTGTGATAACAATAAACCCCTAGAAATTTTTTTTGTTCAAATTTGAATTTACACCTTGGATTATATGTAATTCTGGTACAGTTTTTATTAAGAAAATAGTATCAAGGTGCAGTTATATAGATGCCTAATGACTGGAGATACAAATTTCATACAGAAGGGATTGTATTCCGTTTCACAGCCTATGAAAATAACAGATGTTTTCAGATGGTAATGCCAAGTAATTGCTCCACTAGAAACTGTCCTGCTAGGAAGCAAATTAAAGAGATTCAGTTTTATCACTTTCACATATTTAGAAATATATATATTAAACCATCTATCTAGGGTGTACAGACTTTAACACACTATACAGATAGGAAGGAGAGAAATTTAACATGTGCTCAGTTTGTGTTTTGATGCCAAACTCCACAAACTTTTATTATGTGTTTGCCAGTTGGTTGTATCTATGTTAAATCAATTTACTAGAGAACCTAGTTAAGAAAATCTCGAGTTTAACATATGCTAATAATATGGAACTTCCATTATCCCAAACAAATCAAACTGGTAAAAAAGCTGTTAAGATTCTTAAATGATTTTAACTTTCAAATGTGATTTCCTTAGATTTGGCTTTTTACCGCACTCAATGATGCTCTTTGTCTTTAATCAAAATATGAAATTGAAGAAATATTCTTATTAACCCACAAAAGGCGAATACTTAATTGCATTATATCCCCCAACAGTCCGCTAAGTTTCGATGTTGTTTAACAATCATCATCTTTCAACTGCCTAGAAAAAACAAAAGGAAATCAAAATTTGCAAATTTTTTTCAGGAGGAATTCAGATTAAGCAGACCATGCCAACTTACAATTTTTAATGGCCCAATAAAATATTAATATGGTAATTTCTCAGTATTGATTGAATCAAAAGTCATAAAAATCCAATGGGAGTTTGCAATGCTTGAAGCCATGAAGGTTCCAAGATCTTAACAATTTAAAGTTTTTTTTTAATTGCTTATTCTGATATGAAGCAAATGAAAATCAGTATTCCTAAGGTGAAATTCATGCCAATCCAATTTCAAAACAGAATGAGATGCCAAACTAATTTGTCACTTTCCCAGGTATATTTCATGTACGGAGTTGAGACTATTGTTTTAACTATATAAATAAGTTGCAAACCTATTGATTTGTTAAGGTGTTAAAAGGTGTGATAAACTTGAATATGACATCTTTAATCATCATTTCTGTTGACTTGGATGAATGCTATGGGAACGTTGGCTGTTTTATTATGCAGAACCTATCATCAGCTTTCACTTGGGATTTACCAGGAGAGTATGTCATTTGCTAATCACCAATTTTACTTTTCTGATAATTTCAACACTTTGCTGTTAGAATTAATATGTAAATAAACCATATGAACAATACGGATTCCCTGAAAGATGTCAAGCTGACAAAGCTAGCAGTCATTTAACACATACATGTGAAAGTATAGACCAACATCTATCAACTTTCTCATAAGAAAACTTCATACTTTTTTCTTTTCAGGTTTATTTTTCTGTAATCCTGTTCAAGCATGTGTGACAACAATCATTTATCAAGATGAATAATTCTATTAGCTGACTGAAAATTGACAGAAAAAAATCAAATTGAATTGCAAATGCATGGCTCAACATCTGAATGTGTTATTAATTACAATAATTAAGTATATTTATCAATTATGATCATATCATTACTTGTTTTGTTTGCTCGTTATGGTGTGATATGCAGATGTTTAATGTAATTAATAATATGGTTTGTTATATATGAATACATTGAACTTTTCAGATTGTCCAATCTTTAGACAAAAATAGTATTTTTTTTTTATTTATTAATGCACAAAGTAAGACTTAAAAATCTATTCCCAACACCTTTTACTGCCCACTGGTAGCAAGCATTAGACATTACGACACCATTAGGACTTCAGAAATTGAACAACAATAATTTCAAGAAAAAAGTTCCAGAGAACCTGTCTACCAATTTTGTTTCTTTGCCAAACTCATGGACAGCTGGTCCTTTGAAATAAGACTACAGCCTTTGCATTCTTGTTAATTCAAACAGCTTCAAAACAGTAGGCCTACTGATATTCTTAGAATTACTTTATATCATCAAAATATCCAAAATAAGTTTAGTACATTTACATCTAATATAAAGTTGACAACACTTTTTTCCTACGAAATTTAAAATACAAAATTCAAAATTTTGCCTGAAAATCGCCTTCTGTATATTTTGTGGATGTAATCATATTTTCATTAATACAAAGCAATTCAAACTAGTTGTTCAGTTTCAAGGAGAACTTGCAATGGACAACAAAATCATTAGCCAGCAAAGTAATTAATAGTAATTGTCAGACGACTTAGACCATACCTGACAACTTGGATATAACCATGCAGTTGATGCCACAAGATTTTAACTCAGTGATTGGCAACTCTAATGGATCCTAATAGGGTTATAGTCTTATTTCAAACAAGGACCAAAACTATAAATATTTGGCAAGTGAATATTAAATAAAGAACATTATGTCAACTGAAAACCCAATTACAGACACCACCTGATGATTTTGACAGTTTGTCATCTGGGAGAGGGTCAGAAAGTAAAAAAGGCAACTATCTGGTGGATCCTGTAGACAGAGTTTCTCTAATTTGATTCATTAAATGCTTTGTCAACATCTTTGCATTTTAAGTAATTTGACCACATGTGATGGATCTACTCCTTATAGCGAAGAAAAGGTAGTTATTTGTGATGCAGAACTGGTTGAAATCTATTATGTTAGGTTTGATGCCTTGTATGTTCAATATGTTATTGTGAAACACTGGTTTAATAACCAGCCCTTTCAATTTAAAAAATTAGACACATAGTACATATAAAGCCAAACATCTAAAAGCTGAAAATCAAATCATACAAACAATCTGATACACACAGAGAGCAAAGACGAGTAGCATGGTACAATTGATGGTGACAACATTGCCAGTGGTACCCTCTGAATGGGTATTCAAATCTGTTAACCTCTCTCCCTTTTAACACCTTTGAATGAAGGCTTTACAGATATATAGTTGTATATACTTGAAGTTACACTTACAGAATTTCAACCCAGCTCGGAATATCAGATGGCACCTCTATCAGCCCTTGTTTACTGCAATCAACCATTTCACCCAAGCATGAACATGCTAAAGGGCATGCTACAGAATTTGCAAACGCATACTGGTACGGCAAGTGTATATCCCAAACAACAAAAAATACACAGACAAATAACAACGCCGCCATCTTGGATAGGCGCTATAGTAGCCCGTGTGCGCCACCCTGTTCCCTTTACTTTAATCGACTTTTTATCGACCACTGTAAGTGTTCCGTAAGCATCATAATTCCATATAATCCAGTACACAATCTAATAAATTAATCACAATATATAAAAGTTATTAATTATAACGGATGCTGATGTGGTTTGTTGTCAGTTCAATGTAATGCGAGCTTCGCCTCCCACGTTCGGGTCGAGTACATTCCTTACAAGATATCTTTCACTTCTGATTAGTCTAGACAAGTCACGTGGTACATAAATTAACACTCTAGGGTTGAAAATGCAAAAGTACGATCTAGCTGAGATACAACACTAAAGGTTGGCTGCTAGGTAAACATGGGTGAGGACGAAACCTCTTCACGATTATAGAACAAGTTACAAGTATATAGTTTTTGAATATTGCCTTTAATTCAAGGGTTTAACAGTTTAAACAGACACAGCTGCCATTGCGAAGTTCTTTATCAACTTTGAAAGATTGGAAACCAACCAAACTCAAGCTACCAATTACCACCAGCCTTACTTTAATAAAAACACTTTCGATAACTTATTATTCACACCATTTATTGTTCGACCACTTCAATCAAAATCTATCTACCTTTTACTGTAGGTGTTAAATACACAGGGCAATTCAAAGTCAAACTAGCCCTTTTAATAGTTAAAATACTCCTAATATAATCTAACGAACCTAATATATAGCCTAAAATTATAAAAGAATATTTCAATCTTTATTAACTTCTGATTATTAATGCAAAGCTCATTTGAAGTACCCAACTTGAAAAGAAATATTTATTTTGTAGGACTAACCCCGTTGAATTTTATTTTGAAAGTAAACATGGAATCCTTAGATACACATTTCACTTTATGAATACGGTAAGAAAGTCGCGCATGGTCGTAGAAAAAGTTAACAAATGGTTACCGTTTCGTCATGATTTAAATCTTTCAAAAATAATATAGGATTTCCTGGATTTGGATTGTCCACGGAATCATAGCGCCTTCAAGTCCATGGGCATTGACTGTTAAACAGTAAGTTGTATAGACCTCAGCACGTCACGGACTCTGAAACAAAACAATAGGTTTTTAGTCAGAAGTAGCCTAGTAGGCCTTTCGGAGGCCCAACAAGTCCATCATAAGCATTGATAAAAGAATGACACAAAGAGAAAACAACACCATTTAGGAATAATACAATTCTGAAGAGAGTCATAAAAAGCATAGATACGGAGTTGACAAGAAACAATAAAACTGGCAAGCAAGTTGGCGATCACGGCTTCTTCCATTGGTCAAGAATGACAAATTCAGATCTGGTGTCTTCGAGTTCAGAAAGATTAGCAACACCTAACTAACTAAACAGTTTCGAGCTCTCTCTAACATACGAACTTCATTTCTCGATCAGGCCTCAATTGGATCTAAAATATCACCTAGGCCTACATGGAAACACTAGAAAAAAGGAGCAGAGAACACCATTACGTAAATATATCATCTCAATGAGAGCCGAAAAGAATCTACACAATCACTAGTCTGTATTCAACGAGGAATTGGCGCCAAATTGAATTGTTCAAATTCAAGGGAGGTAATTTCATAATAAAGATACTTGAATTTCCTCATAAAGGGAAATAACCCCGAACCAAGAATACGAAATATTTGGTCATGATTGCATTCAGCCTTTTAAAGAATATGCACATGTTCTAGTCGTTTTCAGCAAAGGAACACATTAAAATTAAAACATCGTTTAAAGTTCATGGCAAGATAATTATAGAACTTGAATGTCTATATCAAGGGAGGTAACTAAACCAATAATGCCAGATCCACGAGCCCAATTCCCCTCAGCACAATTTTCAAACGGAATTAGAAAGAATTTATTTCATTTCAGCCTGTGATAGATCAGAATTATGTAGCTATATAGCCTTATTATGTGCTAGTCTGTTTTGGCTACCAATAAACAGGCTACCATGATCAGAACAAGTTTGGAAGAATGAAGGAGATCGTGTAACTCACGCCACACCATCCAGCTTCGAGTTTCACTGCCATGTTTTTCGACCTGACCAGATCTAACGGATTATCTAACAACAACTACATAGTTTGCGATATTAGCATCCGCTGGAAGCGAACGTTAACTTGTCATCTACCAACCAACCAATATTTTGGCTGAAGAATCGCACCAAAACAGCATTGATTACGATTCAAGTGAAGATATTTATTAAAAAAAACATAACCGAAACAATTGTATTTTAAATCAAGTTATCAAAGGAGGAAGGAGATAACCTTAAAACAATGAATCGTTTAAGTTTCTTCAGAATTAAATCATCCCGAATCTTACAACCAATATTTTTTCCAATTAAATGCACAAAAACACAAGCCTATCTGAAATTATGTGGCCATTTTGCTGAAAATTTGAAATTAGAATTTGAAACTTTTTTTGCCTTTATAGCCTTTGTCTTAACAAAATAGGGCATTGGTATTTTAATACATTGTTTCATATTCTTGAATGACAATTAGTAAATGTGGTTACATATAGATCACTTAATTCTTATTGAAAACAATTAATGTAGCGAGAATCTCTGTGGTCATTACAAGCTAATCCTGTTTCATTGTGTGTTTTTATGGAATACAACGTATTTTCAATTGTTTTTATTATATTGAAATTTCTGGACTAGACTATCGTCCTCAACGAAAATAACTTTTATGACAAAACTATTTCAATATTTTTCTCACTAAATTTGACTATCATGTTGAGGGGAGATATTTAGGTATTGCGGTCTGAATTAGTCACTATTCTAAATAGAGTGGTTACCCTTTGTCATAATTTACTATTAATACTTTTTACAATAAACTGTATATACATATAATGCTGCCATAAATTAAAGCTGACTATGAAATTTCAAACAACATATATTTATTTTACAGTATTTGGTCCTCTTTTTCATATGTTCTTATTCAGAAATTTCAGTTTGAAAATATTCTGTAAATACATTATTCAGTTATCAAGAAAAAAAACATGAAACAATAGGACCAAAATAATAAAAATATCAACCTTATTCTCTCACATCTTGAGGATAAAAAAAGTCTTTAAAAATTTGACGTAACTTATTCCCGCTCCATTGAACAGTAGGTGTCTAAACCTATCCATACAAATATTTAGAGAATTTTAGGGGTTTTATAACTATGTAGTTTAATTATTTACTTACTCTTTTCATGAACACCTGGCTTTGTCAATATCATTTTTATACGTCTTGAATGATCAAAGATATGTTATTAGTCTCATTTCCTCCATAATTATTGTCAGATCTTGGGTTTGACGTGTGGTTATTGACTTTCCTTATCGCGCTTTCGTTTCTATGATAGTGATAGACCATAGAACTGTATGGTATGCATATACATGTAATTTGCACCGCAATTAAATTTATTGTTGGCTATTTTTTAGACTGTAAACGCTCTGGTTTATGTTCTTGAGGTCTAATTTGTTGTTTTGCACATCAAATCGCACCCCAAAGGTCACAGCCAAAGAAACGAAACCAGTTAATTTACCAAATGTATTATTGCATACCATCCTCAAGAACCAACCTTGGGTTATATCAGATGGTCGGACGGAATAAGCCTTGTACTCGAGTGTGACATTTGTATCTACAGGGAAAAATTATCGGTCTAACAATATAGCTAAAACATCGGCAAGCTTTGTAACAGCTCGGTCATATGATGTACTGACTTTTTGTACTTGTTCATGATGTCGACAACAAAACTTACAACGTTGGTCGCATTATCTTCGGAAGTGAGAAATTGGCCTTTGCATTTCAGAGGGATGATACAAGAAATATTGGGCAAAAGGAACCTTTATTACATAAAAATCACCCCTGTAATCCTGTCATTATAAATGAAAGTGGTAAAGATATGGCCATAGTCAAATGATTCGTCTGTATACATGTTCAATGAAAGATTTGATGATCAACGAGAGTGAAGATGTTGTTTGTATTAAACTTCACACGAAAATATTAATAAAATTTCTAGTGAAGATGTACAAGGAAATTCCATTTGTATAAAATGACCTATTGGAATATGTTTTCTAAGGATCAAATGATGATATGTTGATAAAAAAAAATAGTATGAATATTATTCCAAGCTAACCATCTTTTTCATTTGTTCCATTAGATATGTATCTTGCGATTTTATGTTGTTAATAAAAAAAAATAAAAATAAAAATCCAACATTTTTTTCATTTATTCCGTTAGAGATAATTTCAGTGGCTGATTTGTTTGCACATTATTAATGGAATACGTGACGTATAAAAGCAGACAAAATATTTTTATCAGGTATTTTAAACAAATGACCACTATATAAGGTTAATCGGCTAAGACACTGATTGTCGGGTTTATAACATAATCTTTCCCTCTATGTCTTAATTACATTTAAAACGATAATCCGTCGTTGTTACATACATGTTTAAGTCGTTATTCATTTGGTCGGTGTAACAACTACAAACAACTACTAAAACTTTTACCACGCAAAGCAAAACTGGTGTAAACATTTACAATATGGACCAATACTGTTGAAAACATATCAGGAGATATACTGGACTCCAAAACAACATCATGGATTTAAGTATCAGGTAAGATATATTTGTGTAACTTGTATATTTGAATAACTTGTATATATGAATATTTTGTGTAACTTGTATATTTGAATAACTAGTATATATGAATATTTTGTAAAACTTGTATATTTGAATAGGCCTATTTTTTGTAACTTGTGTATTTGAATATTTTGGGTAACTTGTATATTTGAATAACTTGTATATTTGAATGAGCATATTTTGTATAACTTGTATATTTGAATAACTTGTATATTTGAATAAGCATATTTTGTATAACTTGTATATTTGAATAGGCCTATTTTCTGTAACTTGTGTATTTGAATATTTTGGGTAACTTGTATATTTGAATAACTTGTATATTTGAATATAGGCCTATTTTGGGCAACTTGTATATTTGAATATTTTGAATATTTAAATATTTTGTGAACATGTTTTTGAATATTTAAATATTTTGTGAACATGTTTTTGGATATTTTCTAATATAATATGACATAGTTTTAATATTCTGTATAAATTGAAATAAAGAGAAATAACAGCAAGAAAACAAACATCATGCCCCCACAATTCTCCTAGCACACTAGTTTCAATTTCGATAGCTACATAGAGAACTAAAGTTTATGTGTTTACACAGTAATTATCTCTTGCAAAAATATGTTATTCAATTTTTATCTTTAACTAATTTCATATGTTTTTCAGTCCATTATCAAAATATAGCAGTCTAACAGATGCCCATCTATCTGACTATTTCTCAAGTAAATCGAAGAGGAGGCATCTGAAGAAAGCTGGTCTTGTAAGTACTGTATATCTGTTCTTTGACTTGAATAATCCAACACCCACAGGCAGTTACTTGTATACCTCATACTCCAAATGTCATATATTGTATTTATATTATATTAATCATTCTGCCTTCTACATAGATTACAATTCATTAGTCCAACTAGATGCAGACAATTAGAACACAAAAAGACATCATGTTAAAATATTTATCAGAAAAAGTAATATTATGATCGATGTTTTGATGTCTTTTGAAACTTCTATCGTTTAAATCACCCTTCTCTTCAGATCAGCTCCAATGGGTTTGTTATATCTGAAAACAAAGTCAGATGCAATATGCTGAAACAGGAACGTAAACGTCAAATCAAAACTACCATAGCTCAAGCCATTGTTGAGAAAACATTAGAAATAGAGAGACAAAGGCAGGCCATCATTCAACAAAAATTAGAAGAGATTGCTAAATTAGAATTGGTCAAAAGAATTCGAGTAAGTACAAGTTTTAATAGAAATCTATTTACTAACTGTAAAAGATCATCAATATGGACCATTCTTTCTGCAAGGGTGTCGAGCTGATAAGCCCAGTCGAAGAGTTCTTCAGATGATCGAAAGGATGGACATGTTACGCTAGATGGTACGGCAATAACTCAAATCTAATAAATACGTACATTAGACTTGGACAAAAGAGTTTTAATAAAGTTAAAATAAACCTCAGGTACAGCTTCATCGACACATTGTCATAAACATCCATATTTAACAGTATTATTTATATGGGCCTCTGAAAAGAATGTGGGTTTTATATGGGCCTCAGAAAATCATGTGGGTTTTAATTATCGTTCTATTCCTCAAAATTATAGGCAGCTGAAACAGATCAAAGAAGAAGAAACGAAGATTTCCTACCACTGGTTTTAAAACCACCAAGACAAATATTATCTTCTCGATCTCGTCGACCGTCATTAGGTCCCACCAAAGAGAAGTTAACTCGAGAAACTTCCTTAAGACGTCGACCAACGAGTGCGCCAATTTCACGTACCACTTCATCGTCTCAATACAATACCGAGGATGGGGTTAGTTTCGGTTTTCATTTTTCTTCCTTATCATGAAGATCATTTCGATTGTAAAAGTGTACACAATACAAAATAATTATTAAAGCCAAGATGTGTCTTTCAGTCTAGTTTAACGGGATTTGTCGATGAATAGCTAAAATGTTGCAATGAAGCATTGTATAATTCCCTCCAAATGAAACTTTTGATCTTTTCAACATCGGCGATATAACAGGCCATGTCAACTACCATGGAAATTTAATTAGATATATTAGAAGACGTGCCAAATAGAACACCAGTGGTTGGTTGGTTGGTTGGTTTGTAGATGACAAGTTAATGGATGCTGATATCGCAAACTAGGTAGTTGTTGGTAGTCGCAGTAGTTGGTAGATGGATTGGATCAAATTGGATGATTCTGTGTTGTTGGTTTGGTTGTTGATAATTCGTTAGATCTGTCCTGGTCTGGCAATTTATAGGTCTACCACATTTTTGTATATTTATGTAATCATTCAGCAAAGAAAGAATAGAAAATGAAATCACTGTCCGCCTACACAGAATTGGACTTGGTGTAGAAATAACCGTTCTGGACACGCGATTGGTTCCTCAAGTAATATCATTAAAAATAACTCAGAATGAATGTTATATTCTAGGTACGTTACATCAATGTAGATATTAGACCAACCACCTCTTTGTTGAATGTTATAGACCAAGACGACCTAAGTTTAGATTTAAAAGAGCTATACACAGTAAGTCTTCACCGTTCTGTTCACAATGTTGGCTGTGGTGGTGTGCATCCCCACAAATGAAATTAGAATACAACATGTTTTTTCTTTTGTGGACCTTTTTTTAGAAACTTAATTTATGTAGTCGCCTCTTCTAAACCAAACCCCCTTGTCATGCTTTTAGTTGATCTAACCTCTACTTTTCCCAAAAAGCAATTCTAATGTATGGCTATACTATGGTTTAAAGAAATGTAGCCTGAAACTGTACAAGCACACTTTATAATGTTCATATTAGTGCATCTTAGTTTTCTGGTGCTGTTTAACATTACCCTGGCTATCTGTTAGCTTCAATCAGGTCTTGAAATCTAAATTCCAGGTGAAACCATTGGCTTTAAGTAAGTATGCGATGGCCCTGAACAAACTGGAGAAGAGTCGAACTGCTAATTCTCCATATACTACTACATCAACTATACCAATACCACCAAAATCTCCCCGTATAGCTGAAATGAATAAAACACGAAGACGTAACTCTGAACGATCTTATTCTGTGTCGCAGGTACTTTTTTCATATTTTTCCAACCTGTCTTCTCAAATTACACAAAACAGAATGAGAATTTTTCTCAAGTAACATCTACTGTATGTATGTATTCATAATTTGATCCATATCTGCAAAGTTGTCTGTCAATCCAACTTCGCAGGTAGGGTTAGGGTAGGTTAAAGCTTCTACAAGAAACATTCAGATATAAAACACCCTAATTTGCACTACATGTGTACATCTGGCTTCATACTGCTATTTAAAAAACAATCGATTTTCATGACATGTTAGACATTCCATTTGAAACACAAATAATACCTCTGGGATCAAATTTGGCAAGTGAGGGGTGTGTCTGATATCAATGTTCTCCAAGAAAAACGCCCGTAAATGATGGTCATCTTATTTCAGGTTCATACTCGTCATACTGAATCAGTCCTGAGTTTTCCTAATGCAAGACAGAATATGACAGAAATAGTGATGAAATATCACGGTTTTAAATTATCGCTGGCAAGAGAAAAACTAGATCCTAAAAACATGGTGATAGTAGAACAACAACATTGTGGTGGAAATACATTGGTTATTTTTAAAGGAAGGCTTCTACCAAATAGTAAGTTAAAGATAGTATAAATCTTTATATGGGAAAAGTATTGAATGTTCTTTAATGAAAGAAAGAGAAATCAAAGCAGTTTCTAGATGTTGATAACTGATTGCTAGATGCCGAAATAAAATATACCTATAAGTCATGAATCTATATCTCTACATGTCGCAGCTTCTGTGCAGCGTTTAATTTCTCGGATTGCAACTTCTTCACTCTCAGACAGTAAGAGTTCCTTTCTATCCTGTTCGTTTTTCTGATTAGATAAATATTTTTTTTTAGCTGATTTCACTATTTTCTCCCATCGTCATCGGGGCTTTCCCTTTAGTTTAACCATATATGTGGATGGACGGATGGACTGTAGAGTGAGTACATGTTGTGAATATAGGCATGCTTTAAATGTACGTCTTGGTGGAGCGCAGGGCCATTTTAGTTTTACTGATGTCCAGGGCAACATGCCTTGTTATAAGTAAGTTGTTTGTTATGTTTTTCCTTGTCACACTAATCCTTACACTGGCCGGATCTGGAACGACTGGGAGCTACTTAATTTACACGACTGTTAGCAGCTAATTGTACCTGGTAGAATGCCTAGAACAAGTCGACCTGTGCTCACAGACGACAGTAAATTATCAGAGACCAGTTGTTAACAGTTAAGAGCAGTTGCATTATATAATATTCTCGGTATTATTGTGTCGCTAATGTCGACGACAGAAACTAGGAGATACGAGATCTTACTACGCCCGTACTTTGAGTATAGCGTGTGCAGTTTTATTTCCAATATTTTGATGTTTTAAGTGAACTAACAATATTTGCTCAAATGTGAAAATTTAAATGTATTAATTCATGACAGGTGTCAAGTAGAAATGGAAGGAAAGAAAAAGAAAAAGATCTATCCTGTAGAAACAGAAGTTTTAAATACATATAATGATGATACCATGATACCAGTAGAGATTATAGAAGAGATACACAGTAAGGATAGATCCTATTAATATATAATTCTAAAAACAGTTGAGATTCATATTTACAAAAATAAACTGACTCAAAGTTAGCTCATGGGGTTTTTGATGAACAATGAGGTTCCCTTCACAGATATTAGTGATGCAATTACAAAACAGTTACTGTTACCACGTTCCCCCAAAACCATATGGCTCGGAACTTCAGCTGAGCATAACACACGTTGGGTACAATATATAGTAAACGAAATATATTTCAGTGGAAGAAGTGAAAGTTCCTGTTGAACCACTGATTGTTGGACATGAATTAGGTAAGATCATGTTTTCTGTGTATGAAGTATTTTTTTTACATTTACAGTTGTCCGTCCGTTCAGACGCTTTAAAAGTTATAAACATATTAAACCAAAATTCATTTACTTATATATTTTTATGAATAGACCTTTTAATATTCTTTCAATACTGCACATCTATTTAATTGTCATAATTCTCACTCATTTATTTTTAGAACTAGATCATTATTATGATGATGATTTTGAAGAACCATACCAAGAACCCACTAGAAAGATCGATCTTCGAAAGGCTGAGAGTAAGTTATTAATTCAATGACAGTGTCGGCCACTCGGGGCCTGTTTTTTTCGGGTTCCCTTTACCAACAGCATTAGTAGTAACATAAAGGTTTGGTACATGAATGTCTGAATAACGTCCTTAACACATTATCAATCGACATCTCCAAATATGCGAATTCACACCTTGTGATGGCAATAATCAATGGTACGTTTTTTTTTTATATTCTAGATGTTCCACCTGTTAGTTCTATTGCTAAAGATAAAGGGAGGAGAGAATGGTTAACACAAGTTGAGCCACCCCATGTAGAATGTGATACAGCTATGACTTATACTTTTCTGAAGAAGGACGATAATGATGACGAGAACCCTTTAAGTGACGTTAGAGGACCAAGACAAATTACCTTCACAGACGATAAGAAATGGGTTATAACCGTTCAAGGTCCACCAGCAGCAGCGGGAACACAGAGAAAGGACCCGACATTAGTCAAACAAAAAACTCACGAAGTTACTTTACATAAAAACAACCGTTCTCTGATTTCCATTCAAGGCGAATCATCTGACTCTGATGACGAAATTGAGGTCATTGGATGTAAACCGGATGTGAGAGATGAGTACACCGACTCGGACGATTCACAATCAACTTTGAGATCCGTACCAATTATACATTCTGGTTCTGCTAGGCTCCATCGTGGATTGCAGTCGACTTCATCAACTCACACCATGTCTAGTGCCGTTATTGAAAAGAGAGTGAAAAGAACTAAAAGGAGATTACACCAGAGAAAAGAAAAGAAAGTTAACAAGAAGAACAGTCTTGAGGATGAAATAGAGTCTGCTGAACAACTGTTAAAGGAAGTAGATAGTTATATCAATACTGCTGATGAAGTGTCTGATATAGAAAATGAAGTTGCTTCTCCTCAGGGTCTAGTTACAAATCAAAATCTCTCCCAAAGTTCATCATCGTCATCATCATCACGAAACTCTCGCCAAACTCCAGATAAAGACAATTCTTCTGTTAATTCTGAAAGATCAGATTGTAAAAGTCCCAACAAGAATGACAAAGAAGATGTCTATCGGTCCCGCACTAACCTGTCAGATATGGATGACCCAAAAACAGAGAATACGAACGAAACTGAATCAGAAGACGCCCACAAACCAAAGCCATCTAAAGCGGTTTCAGAGAACAAAAGTAAAACTCCTTGTACAGGTGATGATAGTGCAACCAACAGCGATTATTCACAGCCTGATAGTTTTTCGGATAATCGGGGAAATGATTTAAAATCCAATGGCAGCTCTTCCAACTCGGAAAATAAGGATCAATCTATGGATAAGAGTGAAGCAGATTCTGATAGCGATGACCCCAAGCCTGTCACAAAAAGTTCCAGCGAGTCTAATTCTGACCCTGTAAAGAATTCAGACAGTAACAACATTCAAATTGAAGAGGACAAGATTGATTCGAATTTAAAATCTTCCTTGAAAAACAACAAATCCCCGAGGAAAACAAAAAGTGTTTCATTTCATTCTAAAGTAGACCTTGAACCCGATTCTCCCCGTGAAATTTCAAGAAATTTAAACAACAATAACAGTAAAGATGACATAGATTCTAGACACAGTGATGTAACGGAAGATTCATCAAGTGACTCTAGTGATACAGAATCATCGAGCTATGACAGTGATTTTGACAATACCACAAGTGACAAAAAATGACGACGCTATAAGCAGATTGACACTAGAGCCAAGGACTCTATAAACAGATTGACACTAAAGCCAACGGCGCTACTCAGTTCAACCGGAAGTTAACAATTGAGTGATGCTTTAGAAACAGGGAGCTCAATGCAGTCTTAAGGCAGGAAACGGAGATTTATATATGTGTATTTGCTAGCATAAATGATCCAAATTAACTAGTTTTGTCCTGATGTTGAATATTACCGATTGTATAAGCACTATCAAAATCCACGGAATATTGCACTTCCAGTTGGATTGCTTTAGTGGTCAATACCACCCCTATATTTATTGTAGTTATTTATAGTTATTTTCTTTATAATTGTTATAACCAAAACTATCCCCAGGTTTCTGTTGTCAGAGAATAAAGTATAGTAAGCCATATAGTTATTCTTCTTTCAGTGGTTATCTTCATCTGCTAGATATTTTTGGTCAGTGTGGTCTAATGATGGATGGAGTGGATGAATGATGTTAAGGCAATAGTTTCTTCAGAATCCTGTCGACAGTCCATCACAGCATTCATTTCACTTACCCCATGAAAACTTTGAGCCTGTGCAAATGCCTTCTGTGGAATGGAATGGAGAAGAAACTTGTTACCATTCAACCACCCTAATCCCAATGCAAACTCTTAAAATTACATTCAGGTATTTCAGGTGTGTTGACTAGAAAATGGCCATCTATTATACTCTTATGAAATGTTTAGCGTACCCATGTCCGACAGTTCACATTAAAATAAGGCATACTGGTAAACTCTCCAAAAAACACAATTATTTGCGGACTTAAAATTAGTAGAAATTGTGTATCACTCAAAAGTGTCCCCATTTGAAATTAAAATATATTGAAAAAGGTGGTCCCGACTATGCGAAATGCGCTCCGAATCAATAATCAACGCTCTAAGTTCAGGCATATTATCGAAGGAACGGCCTATCTAGTAATTGTCCATTATCATCCAAATAAATGAACCCTAATAAATGTAAAAAAATATCACAAATATTTAACATTGGTTTCGCGAACGAAACTAAGTATAGTGAGAAATACTTTTTTCAAAAACCCATTGACCATCTTTCAAAGAAACATATTAAAATATTATAGTTTCTCATAAAATTGGAATGATTGCGATCTAATATTAAAAATCTATGAAATTAAAAGCCTAAATATCTAGGAGAATTATCAGAAAGTTAACATATTTTCTTGAAATAGTAGTAAATTTATCGAAGCACTAGTGTGCCACCGTATATTGTCGTGTACTAATGGGCTTCCATACTGCTTTGACCTATTTCAAGACATAAATAACCTACGTCATGAGGATTCCCCGTGTTACTATAAATATCTTCTAGGGGTTCATTCTGTCTAAGTGTCTTGTCAGCATGTCAACACAGAATATGAAGTGCCAAGAACACAAACGTTTAGCTGGTATTATAAAAGGGGTCCATGCCAGTTTACGTCAGAAGCTTCAGTCAAGTAGGTAGATCAAATTTTTTTACAAAAACTACACTTTAACAATCAGCATTAGATCTCTTTCATGTTGTTTGGAGTGGCATTTTTGCCATAATTGTTGTCTTTCAAAAATCAGGAAGGCCACGCAGTGGATCTCTTTTGTATGGAGCGTCATTTGTGCCATAACTACTATCATTGATGCTAAATATAGGCTTACATTTACAATTTTCCATCTGCATAGTAAATTTAGTGACAAAACATGGATATGCCTATTACACACCTGTGATTTTGAAATTGAGCTTTTTCTCTCATTTCACCACATTTTTGAATTTTTATTTTTATTACAGATGATGCAGACTGTAATGAAATCTGGGAAAACCACTGTCAAAATAAACAGGTTTTAGTAGAATACGCGGAAGCCATGCATCATTTAGCTGTAGATCATTGGAATGATAAATCAGAGTCTAGAATAGAATGGTGTTATCAAACTATTATAGAATATTTTTATAAAGATGGACTTAGTAAATTGATAGCAAAAGATCTAAGAAGGCAGAGCTCAGGTAGCCTATATACCATTCCCATTAGAAATTTTTCAATAGCATTATATAGAAGCACAAGCTAGCCTATAGATTAATAAAGCAAACAATGTCCCTAATACATATACTAAGGCAAGGAAACCTCTTTTGAATCCTCATGTTTGAAATAAAAAATATTATTTATACTGTAGAAAATAGGAAGACAATTTCACTTAGTAGACCTACAAGTCATGAAGGTGAATTGCAAAATACAAGTTTATCCTCTCCACCAAAGAATTCAAATCATCCTGAAGAGCAGTCATCAGCTTCAGTGACTAATCAGAAATTAGATAGTGGGTTATTCTTACCAAATACAACAAAAACATTGTGTTGGTGAGTTTTGGAATTTTTTCTTTTTACATATCATTCCACATAAAGTATTTGCACCATTTTTATAACTGACTGACATTTTTTAAAGGCTTGCAGTATGACTGAAGGTAATGCACAATATAAAATCAAGACAAGAAGAAGGGTCTTTTGCTTTGTTACTTTTGTTACCATAGGAATCTCTAGGCCTACATTGACACTGTTGAAGTTTGCTGTTGTCTCTATTTCAGCCCTCCAACCCTAGAGAGTAAGATACGACTATTAGATGTTGGTAGTTGTTACAATCCTTTCAACATGTTTAACGAGTTCCAAACAGTTGGTATTGATATATGTCCAGCCACACCTGTAAGATTTGAATATATTTCGTCACAAATTTTAAGTCGTTTCGTCTGCAATCATATAATCATTTTTATCAATGAGTACAGTGCATCAAAAATAAAATTCAGAAAATTATGCTTTATTGTGACCATTTGTCAAAAAAGATACTATCACAGCAATTTGATACATATACTTGAATGAGTCATTAATTATACTTTAAATGGTTTAAATGAACTATTATAAAAAAGATGCATCTTTTATTTTTCAGAGTGTGTTCCAGTGTGATTTTCTCAATATACAAACAATTGATCCATTACCATCTGAGACTATACATTCTTATATTAACACACTACATAGTCCCATTGAACAGTTACCAAAACAACTTTTCCATGTTTGTGTATTTTCCTTGTTATTAGAATATTTCCCATCTCCCCATCAAAGATTATTGTGTTGTAAAAAGGCGCAGGAATTATTAGCGTTAAATGGGTTGTTATTAATTATAACACCAGATTCTCACAGTCAACATCGTAACGCTGCCATGATCAAAAGTTGGAAATTGGCAGTGGAATCACTTGGATTTAAAAGATGGAAATATGTGAAGAAGGAACATTTACATTGTTTAGCATTCCGAAAGTTGGACAGCATATCATCAGACTTGATGTCTGAAACAACTCAAGATTTAATGTATATACCTCAAGATTTTAATACTGTGGACTCCCAAGATAAAATCACATTATGTAAGCCTGATAGTAGTGAAGATAAGGAGGTTAATCATTTATTATTGAATGAACTACCAGATCTGTATGTTTCTGATGGTTAATGAATGGTTAATTCAATAATGGCTTTGTTATGTTGATCATTGTTTCTTTTCTACAAATATTTTGGGTTAGCTCTGGATTTTTTATTATAATGTAACTGTTGTTGAAAAGTCATCATCATGCCAATCCTATCCACAGATTGTGCTTGAGATTGATAGGCTATTTGATATAGTGCACCTTGATGAATTTCCCTATCAATTTCAAGAAAAAATTTAAAATTTGTCTAAAAAGCGGACGCGACAAGAGAAACTCTGCGAAACGTTGCATAAATACCCTAACCAATTATTGCATTTAAACTGGGCCTGATATAGAAAATAGTTGTGGTATTACAAGTAAGAAGAGTTGCCTCCCATTAATTATACATTAGACTATGATAAAGATAAAATAGATAGAACACATGAATTTTTTCGACATTTTATAGCGAAAATTCGGATCAAATTCAAATTGTATAATTGTATAGTATGGCTGTAATGGCCAATTTTTTTTTTCACAAAAAGCAAGTCCTCAAGTCCCCAAGAGTCTAACAGCGGCTCCTTATCTCTTGGGGCAGTGGGATGCAATAGGGAGCATACTGACTTGGGGGATCAACTTGTCGATGTTGAAATTCCAAATGTGGTATTTCTGCCTTAAGAGACAACCACCATTGGTCGTCTGAGGGAGTTCTCAGATGATTCGGTGCATATAACATATTTTGCCACCCCCCCTCCAACTCTGTAATATTGGCCACGCTGAAGTCGTGTAGACGTTCAGGCGAATAGGTTACAAGCATGGAACCAAAATCACAAAGCTAGTATAGTATATAGTTCACGCATTTTGAGACAACTTCACTTGATCCCTCTATTTGCTGATGACAATCTCGTTATCTCTTTGGTTTGCACCCAGCTTTTATTGTTGAACAGACTGGAAACTCCAAGCGATGCTGGTCAGGTGAAATAAGCGTGGATTTATATTCCAGAACTGATTTGTTTAATAGGGGTGCGGGTATATGCGCCACCGTGTCCTATGTCTTCGGAGGATTGTCGCCGATTTGCAGAACAAGTTTTGACACCAAGATCAGAAAAAGTACCTGTAAGAGGAGTGAACATTTGTTAAAACTATACAGAGTTGGTCGTCAAGCTGGATTGATTTGCTATTTTTAATTCAATGACAGAACTATTGGTGAAGCTTTACTACAAACTACAGCAACCAGAATATCGTCTGCTATGTATCGCCTTTTCGATGAAGTGGCATAGGTTCGAAACCAGGAAGATGTATCATGCAACTTAATAATTGAAATTTGGCCTTGAGACCTCTTCTCCCAATGCTGGTAACACTAACAGATTCCGTGAAACGCAAACAGGCCTACACCCAAAATAGTGTAGGCATTGGTAATAATATTATAGCATAACTGATGAGTGTAAATAACTGTACATTTTGATGGAACTGAGTATATGAGTGTTTGATATTGAAATACATTGTACCATTAAAATATTAAATACATTATCTCTGCTAACATTGTTTGTTATTTTTCTATTTACTCGGCAGGTGCTCGTGACGTCACTATGGTTAGTAGACGAATAACTCTTTATAACAACAAAGTATCCTTACGCGGTCAACAAAATAAATCAATAATGAGGTCTAAAATTCTCCTCAGAACTAGACGAAAAGTGATTTGTTTGTCAATGGACATTATTCCAAGGAAATACTGATTTGATGTGTCACTGGCAGATTTGAATAGAAATAAAAACAATATTGATAGGTGTTTGAACTTTTCTTTTATTTATAACATTGGTGCGACCGTATTGTGTTCCAAGTGCTAGATCTTTCAAATTATTATAGCTCGATATATTTACTGTTTACTCCATCGTCTGTTAATGACAACTGTCATATCCATGAGGTAAGAATTATAGAACGTATACTGTTCAATCTTGTCATTAGTATGTTGTAATGTGTCCTTAAAACAATTTGGTTTAAATCCCTATCAAGTGCTAGTATAATTGAGTGCGCTAGAGTGTGCAGGGCTATTGTCAACAAAGCCGACTGTCAGTATCAGTTCTTCACTAACTCTTGATATATAGGGGAGAGTGGCCAAGTTCAGCCACCTTTATAGATAATCATTTGCATTATACTCTATAATATATTTATCTCCAGTATACATAGGCCTACCCACTATAATAGTTATGATTTAAGGGTGACCTATGTATATAAATAACTTGTTGGCCCTACCGTACTTATCCAAATAAATGATAGCCTAGGCCTAGTTAAAAAAAAAAAGGGGCACTGTCATTGTGGTAAATGACAATTTTATTTTTACCCTAACACACATGGTTTTTCAGATTTCAGTGATATGTGGAATTTCCTTATTTACCATGCGCAAGAGATATATACCCTATATGAATATAAGAAAAAGATCAGAACAGATCAGGCTGATAACCGACATAATATGATGGTGACAAATAATCATTTTTGTTTGCCAGGATTATGCAATGATGTCAATTCTTTATCAATAATTTTAGTAATACTGGCATTACATATATATGATACACTGTAATAGAACCCATGATATTTTCAGCTATAAAATTTAATATCCTCTGAAAATCTAATATTTATACAATTAACCCTTTAATGGTACAGATTCGCATGATTCGCATAATTCCTTTCAAAAATACCTCAAACTAGGAATTTCTTTTTCTATTTCATATATCTTATAAGAAAAGATGAGTTGTCTTTTTTAACTTTATAACACGCATTATTCTGGACCCACATTGGATTGGAAGGCTCAAATTTCAGCGGTGAGCTTTGAACACTATTACTTATTAGCTTGGCTAAAAAATTACCGTTTCTGAGACTCAGACACGATTGTTCAAAAAAATGTTGAACCTGTACCTTTATACACTGAAATATAACGTCATATACCCTGATTTCTTAAAATTATGTTTGTAATACCCTTTAAAAGTATATATTGTGTCGTCAATTAGTATTGACAGATTCTACGGATGCCCTAGTATAGGCCTACATATCGTATTTGCAGGTAAAGCAGAGGCTAGCATTGAAATGGTAAATTCATCTGAGGGCAAGTTTAAAAAGCGCTGATATTAAATTCATTGTAATCCTCCGAATAGAAAATTTATTTTAACTTCTATATATTGAAAAGGCCTACATGACCTAATACAAAGGAGGAATGTTTTAGTATCACTGATTTTTTTAAAGATTAAGATTTTGATTTTAGTTTACCTCTTATTTAGAGTTAACTCCCTTAGAATGAAAAGGAGAAATTTTTTTTTTTTTGATAAATTTTCATATAATGTTGCTGAACTACATCCGAGTCCCTTCCTGGTACAATGCTCATAAATTTAGATTTTAGAATTATGGTTCCCATTTGATATTTAAATATTAAGGTATTTTAATCAGACAATTAACCATTATAGTTTTTATACCCTAAAGAAGCCATATTGAGGAACTTTAAAAGAAAGTAATAATTTAGATAGGATCACCAGTTTAAGTATAAAGGGACAGATGTGCAATTTATTTACTTATCGTGCCTTAGTCTCAGAAACAGGAATTTTTTAGCTAAGCTTATCAGTAATAATGAAATCTGAGCCTTCAAATCCATGTGTGTCCAGAATTATTCGTATTTGAAACTTAATAAGACAAGTTGTATTTTCTTGAGACATTGCCATATATAGAAAAGACATCTATAGAAATAGGAAAAAAAAAACCTTGAAGACTGGATTACATTCAATTCTTTCTTTCATTACAGATAAACTTCACACCGAATTCTCACAGTGAAAATTGATATGGGTAGTTGAAATCAAGTTCCTTCCACTGGTATGTTGAATAAATTTTCTAATATTTTTAAATTAACAGCAAAATACATTTATAAAATGGTTTAATCCAGTTGGATTTTTCATGAGTAAAATCAAGCTTGACCAGCAAAAATTTCTTCTAAGAAAATTTCCAAGGTATAATGTTATGATATAAAAAGTGTGTGGCAGGAAGTCATATTATCACAATGAAAATATTAAATACATTTTACTCCCATAAAACATGAAATAGACACTTGCATCATTTATGTGCACCAGTCCTGTGTCTGTAAATCCTGTAATGTGATTATGACATTTGGAAACCAGCAATCACTTGATTCACTTGGATGATTGTTTTGTTGACAAGGAAAATGAGAACCATCCAACCAGATCTCCACTAAGTGTGCATGTCAACTTTCTTTGACTTTCTTCATGTGGGATATTTCTACTAATTTTTATATCACTGATAACAGGTTTTATCGATATGTCAATCTTTCTGCATCTTCACAATGTCAAGCTATTACAAAGTTATACCTTGACTGCAATACCCAATATTCTTGTTTCATGGAATACAACAATTTGATTGGGATTGTATGTCGGTAAATACAGCCAATCAGTGCGTGCAACAGAAAATGTTATGGTTTTGTCTTCACATACTTTCTGTTGAGGCCTCTGATTGGCTGTATTTGCTAGTGTACAATCCAATCGCTTTATTTACAAACTTCTGTGATACAAGAAAGGTGACTTTTACATTCGAGGTATAAGTATGAAGTTCGTAATAGTTACTGACAACTGGGTCAACCGTGAAGTTTGAATGCAATAAGCTGATATTTTTTTCAATTTTTTCAAAACTGTTCGATAAACTCTTTTATGATTTCTAGTGAAGTGATATTTTTTATGTGTGTTGTAAGGTTAATAAGAATATTTTCTTGGAGGGCTTCCTAATGCCCTGGACCCAATAATAGATTTCACATTGTGATGTCTATATCACAAATACCATTGATATGGGTCTTTGATATGTAAATTGTCTTGAGAAGTACTAGAGATGCATGTTAATCGCATAATTCCTTCAAATCTCACCTTCTTTTTCTATATTTGTCTTTTCTATACATGAATAATTCTGGACACATATGGGTTTGAAAGCTCAAATTTTGTCAGTGAGCCATCAACACTAGAACTGATTGGTTTAGCTAAAAAAA